CACAAAGATAAGTTGATAGTTTTATTGATGAAATAGAGATATTTTACTAATCCTTTATAACCAAATTAAGATTGGAACTTCAAACTTGTTTTTTATTAAATATTTTCAAGATCGAGAATTTTTAGTGTTTGCAAAAACATTTGATTTTAACTTGAGAAAATTTTTTCAAGTGAATTAGAATATTAGACAAGCACTTATTTTTATTAAAAATTATTTTGAGAGAAATTAATTTAATTTTTATGAAATACAAATGGGGAAAAGTAATCATGGATCCCATTCTCTTGAAGTGAAAGTTTCAATTAAATCTTACTTGTCTTTAAACACTTTTCACTTCAATTTACATTACTTTTAAACAAACCTCACATTTGATTTTGCTTATCCTAATCCAATGCCTAATAGTGAATTTTTAACTTTCATTTGCTTAAATCCTTATGGGGACAATGCCTTTAAAAAATTATCTACTTGTGATAACCTGTATACTTATGGTAACGCTTGATGGTGAACACACACAAAGGGAATCATAGGATATTAAAAATTATATCCAAGTCTATCTAATTCTCTGATTATCCAGATCACATATAATACAATAATAACCCATTTTGTTGGATCACAAGAACCAAGATTACTTGTAATCCTATTTTCATTTCAGTGATCTTTTAAGTATATGACAACATAGATTAAATTATTTGAATTTTATCACAATAAGTATATCTAAGTCTCATGAATATGTAAAAATATAGTTTTGTCCCTTTCAGACCTAGTTGAATTTTATGAGTGTAAAAAGACTACATTGCCTTAACTCCAAACTTGTTTATTTAATTGCAAGTTATGAAATCTTGTAACATCTTGAATTTCTATCTCCAAATTAATTAAATCTATTAAAGATAATTTAGTAGATTTAGGTGTTTATGATTTTGAAAGTGGTAATGATGGCTGGTAGGTCTACTGGGTTTAGTTTTAATCTTTAGATTGGGTCCAAACTCATATTGGGCGGATAGGGCCAAAAAGGAGGAACAAAATTGGGTCCTTATTGTCCACACCATCTGTTGTGGTGGACGAGGCCTGTGTCGCTTTGGACGGTTAATTATTTTAAATATGCAACCTGACCACAAGATGTAGAAACAAGATGATAGAAAGAGATAGAGAGATTGGGCAGTGGAAAAGGAGCTAGGGTTTGCCAAAGTTTGATTGTTTGGACACTTGGGAGTGTTTCAAGCAATATTTTCAAAATCAGACCAAATATTGAATCGAAAAGGCCAGTGATTCATTATTTGTATGGTGACCAATGGTTAAATCGATAACATAATAATTAAATAAAAATAATATTAAATGTATAAATAAAATAAATACTAAAAAAATCTATAATACGATAATAAAATGACATAATATGATTGTAAATTAATATTTTAAATTATAATTTTATAATTTATCAAATATATGTGGGTCTTAGTTAAATTAGATATCAATGAACTCAAAAGTATTTGATTTATATCTATAATTATCAACATTTTTATGAAAAATAATCTTAAATTATATTTTATACATGTGAATTATTCAAAAATAAAGTTGACTTTTATAGGGATCTATTTTTTGAATTTTTTTGATTTTTTAAAATTTTTTAAACTTTTTTAATATTATGTTTGAAATTGTTTGATTTTTTGAAAATTATTTCGATTCCTGGTTCAACTTCAATTTTTGGCTCAATAACAACTCAACTCCAATCCAGTTTGACCCAATCATGAAAATGATGTTTTGGTCCAAATCAAGTTGTTAATGACTCCAATTGACAGTTTAGCTGGTCCAGTCCAGTTTTTAAATCATTGTTTTTAAGCTCACTTCTATCAAGGTAAGTTTTCTATACTCCCTCTCCTTCCTCTTTACATGTTTGGTATTTGGTTTTGGGATTGAAGATATTGATTTTGAGCCTAAGGAGTTATGCGTTTGAACTTACTATTTCTAATAAGACTAATGAGAGTTGTTTTAATATTTTAAGCCTAGTTTTAAGGATTTTAAAATGTTTTGATTTTGAGTCTTGGATTTTGGACAAACCTTAGACACTTGATAGTGATTTTGAATTATGGGATATTATATTTGTGGTTATTTGAGTTAATGGGTGTTAAACGAAGTTAATAGAAATTAATAAACTAATTGGATATGAGATTGAAGTTATGGTTAGAAAATTTGATCGTTAAGGTGGGAAATTTAGAAGTAGGTCATGTTGTTTTGGTTTATTATTAGTGATAGTGATTTATGTTATTGTAGATTGACCTTGTGAGCACCAGTGAGCTTAAATTTAACTTAAAAGCAAGTGATTATTAGGTGTGACTTTTGAGTTCTCAAATGTTGAGATGATTGGGGGAATATATTTTGTTTTATTGCTTATTAATTAATTATGGGTGTTTTTGAACCTTACAAGTGTATTATGCATGCACGCATGCACATGTATTAACATGTGTGCGCTATTGAAATTTTAAATACATGCAATCGATTTTGCATAATTGTGTCTAACTATTTTGTATGAAATAATTTGAAAACGTAACTAGTATCATTAGATCATTTTAATTGGATATTGGATGGAGATTTAAAGCATGCCAGAAGTTGGCCTCCAAAATTTATCTAATGACAGCTTAATGTTGTCAAAGTCTATGAAATGTGCTATGATATATGGCACAGAGAGCTCTAGCCACGGTGAATGCCTCTATTGTTGGAAAATGACATTTTTAGCCCTTCATGCAAATATTTTCAACTTTAATTTGTATTTCATGTTTCCTTATATTTTATAACTCTAATTTAAGTTTGTTTTGACTAAAATATTTTATGATTAAATTGTAAAACTTGGGATCCCCCCGTTTTTTTTGAATAAAAGAATTTCTATTTACCATGGTAAAATACATGGTTCTTACTTGATTACCATGGGAAGGTTTTATTAGAATGGTTAAGTATGTGATTTAATAAGGTGATATCACGAATTTCAATTATAAATTATAATATGTTGACTTTAAAATTTTGAAGAGTAACTGTAAATATAATCCCAAAAAACATTTAAGTAAAAATTATTTTCAATTGCTTGACAATATTTATTAAACTCAATTTTTGGGAAAGCCATACTCAATCTGGCTTGACAATGCTCAAATTCAACTCAATTTTATACTAGAAAGGAAAAACACAATTATCGGTTCTCATATTTTCATTTGGTTTTACTTTTACTCTTTGTAATTTTTTTCAATGTTTCTAGTATGTATATTTTCAATTAGATCAAGTGACATTTGTACTCAAATTCTTATAATTTTAGTATTTTTAGTTTTTAGAAGGATTCAAAACATTAGAAGAAACTATAAAAATTAAAAGCATAATCCGGTAAACTATAGAGGCTAATTATTATATGCACAATAACTTTATTGAAAGAATAGTAAGTAGTATAGGCACAATAACTTTTTATACAAAGGATTGCTTTTACATTATTGAACTCATGTACTCGTTTAAAAATATAATGCACGTTTTTTCCTTGATACATTGAATGGAATTTTTTTTTTGGGGTCACTTACACATATTTTTTTATTGGATGTAATTCTTGTTAAAGCAAATTTAGGTATTAAATATTGGCATTTCTTTCAGCAGAGATTTTGACATTTGTTTGCTATATGGTAAAAAATTAATTTCTTATACTAAATCCAACTCTTGTTGGCGAATAAAATGTAGTTTTTTCTTGGGTGGAAAAAAAAAAGACTGTAGTTATTTTAACAAGAGTTGCGTCCATATCCCACTTTTGTGGAGTTCTATAGTCCATTTTTGTTTCGGTGTACTCGTCCTTCGAGCTTTGCTCCATTTGTCTACATCCGAAGTCCATAAAAATGGGTCATGGGCCATCCAGCCCAAATGATTTTCCAAACAAATGTTGTGAAAAAAGGACAATCTCAGTTAATGTCCAGAACCTTTGACCCCAAAAAAAAAAATAGTTGTTTCATTTTAATAATATAAAATTTAGGTGAGTTGAGTTTTAAAATTTATTAGAGCTAGACATGTCTTCAAGCTCAAAAAATACTTATAAATCACCCACCAATAACATCTTCTCACTAATAATAGGACTTGATTTCATGACTTTTTGAATTAGGGGCTAGTTCCTTGTTAGCTTAAAAAAAAAAAGAGTTATTTATTCTTATCTAATTAGAGTCTACAGAGGTACCAATATCTAGTGCTTAACATTATCTTAAACATAATTGTCTCTCGGCAAAAAAAAAAAAAAAAACATGGCGGTCTTCAATTAAAAAGTACACGTATATGATAAAATATTAGAATTACTCCCTCCATTGTTATTTGTAAAAGAAACTTTTACTTTTGATTTTTTATTTTTTATAAGTAAAATTATATATTTCGTTAAGTATTTATTATATATTTTTTAAATTATTTTTTATGATTTATATTAATGAAAAGCAATTAATAAATTTTTATATCTATTAATATGGGATCTTTTAATTCAATTTTTTTAAATTTATAGACATAATTATTATAATTAATTAATTTTTTTAAATTATGTGATACGATTTTTTTATATACAGAAATAAAAAGAATACTATCAAAAAATTTAAAATTACACTGAATTTTAACAGTAATTTTAATCTTTAATAGTAAAGAAAATTGTTTGGTAAATGATAATATTAAAAATGATGTTAAAATTTTTTGAAAGATTGACTTTATCATCGCTCAACGTGTGAACAACTTAACAAAAAGATGATAAAAAACTTTTCATATTATTATCAAACTAAATCTATTTCTGGAATTTGGCCCAAAAACAATCTGTTTTTTGTGCTTTCATTTTTTCAAATTTTTTTTTCAGGATAAAAAAGAAAAAAAAAGATAAAAATGAAATTTTGCCCAAAAAAATGAAATGAAAAATATAAAACAAAGTTGTGATTGCAAGCGCGTCGCATCTTGGCGGTGACAATATCACTATTCACCCCAAGGAAAGCTCTTTATATATATAGTCCTAGACGCGCCTGCAGGCGATTCCTCTGGTTTTCGGAGGCCTCACCCTCATCTTTCATTTCATATTTTCTTCGAGGGCCAGTCTCGGGACCCCCAAACCCTAATCGTCCCAACCGACCTCGACCGCAAAACATCACCGAGAAAAAAAAAATGCAGAATCACAGGCTGAAGCAGCAACAGCAAGCTTTGATGCAGCAAGCTCTTCTTCAACAACAGTCTTTGTACCACCCTGGCCTCCTAGCTCCTCCTCAGGTTCGAGCTCATAACTCTCTTGTTTTCTCCATTTCATAATTTGCTTTGGTCTTTGCTGCTTTTATGTGGATTGTTTCTTTTCTTAATTTGGTTATTTGGTATTCGGGCTTTTTAGTCCTGTGTGGGATTGGCTTTAACACCTAGGGTTAAATGGGCTTGGCTGGGTATCTAGTGGGGATGATCTTCTGTAGTTGGATATGTTGATTAATGTTGCTTTTAGGAAATTAGATTTTAATAAGGTCCTTTACTCCTCCCCCTCCCCCATCTTTCTGAGTTTTTCATTTCGCGTACTTTCTTGCTCTCGGCCGTTTCGTCCTAATTCTTGTAGAATGCCCAATTTTGAAGTAACATTTTAGTGTGACTAGCATTGCTGTGTCATTTTTGCGCGCAATTAAACGCCGACTTAGCTGGGATTCTGGCAAGGATATTTGCTGCCCAAACGTAACACCTGAATTTCTTCCAAGTTTTTGGGAACCTACATTTAAGGCTTGGAGACTTAAGTTCATTTTCAATGATTATTTTTTGACATTTACCTGCTTTCCCCGCTATTTTTGTTTGTGTGTGTGTGTGTGTGTGTGTTTTTTTTTTTTTGGGAGTTTGCCTGCGATGGTTAGCAGCTTTCTAGTTATAATTAAGTCAGCTGTTCTTTTCTTGTTTAATGTCCTGCTTGATCTTCTTCTTATCTATTTGAATGCTGATAACTAACGGGTTACGGATGGCATGGTCTATTCTGCGCCGTTATCTAGTCTTGGAATTCTAAAGAGTGATACGGATTTAGAAAATCATTGCCTTGTGGAAGTTCGTGAGTTTTTAGTTTTTAAGTGGATTTTACCTAAACTAAAGCTGGAAAAAAAATTACTGATCATTACTTGCCTTTTTCTTCGCTATGTAATTTTCTAAGAAAATTGAGGTGTGGAAGAAGTTTCTTATGACATTTTTCTGCCAGCTCTTTGCTACCTCATTTGTTAAAATAGTAATGTCTTGGTTAAAGAAATGAAGCTTTAATTCTTCATTTAAGCTGTTAAACATTTGTGCTTTGATGCTGGGCTTGGGTTAACCGGTTAAACGCTGGATTTCTTTCTTAACATGCTCGATCCTTCATGCTTGTTAATAGGTATTTGTGAGGTATTTATAGTCACTTATTTTTGACTGTTTGAGTATTATTCTGAGGTAATTAGGTCTTGGTCGTTAGGGTAGCTCTTCTCCTGTAAAAATCTTGATCATAGAAGTGTTTTATCTTGCTTAAATGGAAACAAGTGATTAAGTTGAATCAATTTTTGTGAAGAGCTTCAAGTAAGATTTGACCCCAGGATTCCTTTGTAGTTTGTCAATTATCTGGTTTGTAAGGATTAAGCAAATCAATGCATGTCAGCATGTGCAAATGTGACTGGTGACCTGTGGTGTCTTTTTCCAGCTTCCTGGGGAATTGTTTTAACTTTGAGTAATTGGGAAGGAACCTGTATAGCGTAATTGTGTGATTCTTAATAACCCATTTTGACATCATTTAGTTTTTATTGGTTGGTGTTTTTGATGGGGCAATCATCCTGTCTAAGTCTCAGATTTTTCATTTTCCTTAGTGCTTTTGTTTCGATTATCTTTTCTACATATATATCAAGGAAGCTCTGCATCTCTCCAAAAGTTTACTCGGAATAGAAGTAGAATTAAAGTTGGAGGTGTTGATCTTGTTTTCATGTATTAGTTAGCTAATTAGCAATAAGATTTATTGATCTATTAGATAGGCAGCACACTTTTTACTTTGAGTGTTCCCTTTTTCTTTTTCCTTTTTCTTTTTTCACATTTTCGTTTTGCAGATTGAGCCAATTCCAAGTGGAAATCTGCCTCCTGGTTTTGATCCAAGTACTTGCCGCAGTGTGTGAGTGTTTGTCTTGACATTTTTTTCCTTTTTCTTCTATCTTATTTTGCTCGATTTCTTTATGACTGAGGTGCAAACAAGCTTAGGTACCTGTTACTAGATTTTTATCCTTTATTTTCTTTTGGATCATGATTTTTATTAGAAGCCTTTAAGTTACCAATAATGATAAACTTGATATTTGTCAAGTTTCTTATATAAATAGTTGTAGATTGACTAAGATGTTGCTCTCTGTTATTTCTTGGTCTCCTGCCCATGTTATCTACTTGTGCTCTGATTTCCTGTCCCTTATTTTTTTCCTTAAAATTCTAGCTTCTTGATCCTCGAGAATATGCAGGTATGTTGGAAACATACATACACAGGTAACTGAACCGCTTCTGCAAGAGGTTTTTGCAAGTACTGGTCCTGTTGAAGGTTGTAAACTTATCAGAAAGGAGAAAGTAGGTTTTGCATATCTACCTGTTTACGTATTGTTTGGTTCATTTAGAGTACTATCTGAATTGAAGCTTGTATTCAACGGTGTTGCATCGTTGATGCAGTCATCCTATGGATTCATTCATTACTTTGATCGAAGATCAGCTGCTCTTGCCATATTATCTCTCAATGGAAGGCACCTGTGAGTATGGCTCTTTACAGTTCTTTGTTAGTTTGGTTTGGGTTTCTGATTAATTTCACCCAATGCTTTGCAGATTTGGGCAGCCCATCAAAGTTAACTGGGCATATGCTAGCGGTCAGAGAGAGGATACATCAGGTTGGTACATAATTCCATGTTTTCTTGTGCTTATATATGTCATAATGGACTTCGATCCTCTTGAAGCTTTTAACTTGGTTGTTTATGATGTTTTTGTTTTGATTTGCAGGTCATTACAACATATTCGTTGGTGATCTCAGCCCTGAGGTCACTGATGCTACATTGTTTGCATGCTTTTCTGTTTACCCCAGTTGTTCGTAAGCTTCATTTCTCCTCGCTCTGTAAAATGACTTTTCTATTTTATGTGCAAGAAATTGGACCAGTATCCATTCACATTGTAACATTTCTATTCTGGAGTAGGCAATATTCCCTCTGGTCCTAAAGATAAGACCCTTTTAACTAATTCTGTAGGATTAAGAAAATTAGTTATTTCTAATTAATGTGTCGAATATTTGTGCTACTGTCCATAGTTATTCCCAACATTTAACGAGATGTCTTAACTAGTAATGACTTTTTACTAGAAAAAATTGAGCATTAACAAGGGGTATCTTGGTGAGATAAACATTTAATGCATCAGAAATCAATGGGTTCTTTTATAAAGGATTGAAACAAAGTGATCAAAATGATCCTATATTTAAGACCCAAGGGAGTAGTATTTAAAACATGCTTAGTAATGTGGTTGACCTCTTAGCATGGCTTGCTGAAGTTGTTTTTTCTTTTTTTATTGGTTCCAGAGATGCAAGGGTAATGTGGGATCAGAAGACTGGGCGCTCTAGAGGGTTTGGTTTTGTTTCATTTCGTAATCAACAGGTACATTTTCTGTTGTAGAACCTTTTCTTCCCTCTGGTTTCTTCATATAAAAATTCTCTTAACTGTTATCTGACTCTCTCTCTCTCTCTCTCTCTCTCATATCAAAAGGATGCTCAAAGCGCAATAAATGATTTGACTGGTAAGAGATGGTTCATTCACCTTCATGCTTCCTTGTCTTTAGAAATCTTGATGTCTTTAAGCCAATTTTAGCATTAGAGGAAATGTGAGTGAGTTAACGTTAATATGTGATAATTGAGTTCAAACCGGCTAAGATAAGATCGTAGCTCCAAGAAATGGTGCCTTGTGGTTATCTTTTGTGGAATACTGGAAATTAGGGTGGCTTTATGTGCTGTTGATCTTTATTTGAATGGTTAAATGATCATGCAAGTTTAAGATGGAAAAGTTGTATTTCAGTCGTTTTACCACTGCTGCATTTTTTCAGCACTCCTGGTTCTGTAATAGGCTAGGGCCTGTTTGTTTCTTGTTTTCAAAGTAGGGACATGGAAGGCATATATAATGGATCCTGGATCTTCTGTCTAACAATTTCTGGCTGTCAATGTTGTTTAATTTACTACAAATGGTTAAAAGATCAATGCGAGTTTAAGATATAAAAGAATTGTGTTAGTTATTTTACAGCTTCTGTATATTCTAATGCGCCCATGATACTGTAAGAGCTTTCTTGTTTCTAAAAGCAGCATTTAAATATATTTTTGTTCACTGTTTTTAAATGTAAGATTAAACAAAATCGGGCCAATATTATCTCTTTTATTACCTGTGCTTCTGTCTCGTAATTTGCTTGTCTTTCAGGTAAGTGGCTTGGTAGTAGACAGATACGCTGCAACTGGGCAACTAAAGGTGCTGGTTCTAATGAAGACAAGCAAAACTCTGACACAAAAAGTGTGGTTGAACTAACAAATGGCTCATCTGGTGAGTAATATTTATCCTAAAGTCTGAGACAGGAAATGCGTTTTTTAATCGGAAGTCCCATCCTTATTATAAGATGGGTAATATTTTACTTCGCTGTGCAGAAGATGGTAAAGAGACAACTAACAGTGATGCTCCAGAGAACAATCCTCAATATACTACTGTCTATGTGGGCAATCTTGCTCCAGAGGCAAGGAACTATCTGTATCTCTTGTAGCTGCATTCACTCCTTCACTCCTAACCCCCAACCACCCCTCCCCTGAAAAAAAAAGAAGAGAAATGTTATATTTACTTCTTTTATTGCGCACTCTATTTCTCCCTTTTCACTATTAGCTTGGGGGTGTATTTTTTTTCTAAATTGCAGATCGTTTCTTTTTTCTCTTTTAATTCAAACAGGCAGATTTTTTTTTTTTATTTGTGATCCGCACCTTTGAATTCTATAGAAGCTGACGTTGCTAATTATCACCTTTTTTGGCTTTTGTACAGGTTACCCAGCTTGATCTCCATCGCCACTTCCATGCTCTTGGGGCTGGAGTGATAGAGGAGGTTCGCATCCAGCGGGATAAAGGGTTTGGCTTTGTGAGGTATAGTACTCATGCTGAAGCAGCTCTGGCTATCCAGATCGGAAATGCCCAGTCTGTTCTCTGTGGAAAACCTATTAAGGTAGGATTTCCGGATTTTGTAATAGGTTTTTTGGTCTGACTCTAGATCCTACTGTCAATGCTGATTCGTTATTTCATGATATGTTGGAATAAGTTTACTCTTATGTTTACTCATCTAATAGTATCCTTATTTTTGGCTCTCTTAGCCTGAGTGATTTCTTACCTTTTGTCATCATGGGCATACAGTTAGGGAGATATGTTGGAGTTTGGTTCTTCTTCACCGAGTTCTTAAGTTTATTTTCTATGATGGCATTTGCATGTCTAATTTGTTTGATAAACTTAAGCGTCCAATTCTCTGCACACTTGTGATGTGATGAGCCATTTCGATTCTTTATATTTTTAGGCACAAGGCAAGGGATTTGGATTTGTGGTCTTCTAATTATGTTATAGTCCAATCAGAAATTGGATGCATTTTTCTATTTATGCACCTTTTGTGCTTTGAATTTTGGCGAGTCAACTTTTCCCATGCAGTATGATATTTTTATGGGCCCTGTCCTAGAAGGATTTTTTGTTGTATTTGTACATGCTGTATATTTTGACGTTTCCCAAACGCTGATTCTTCAGCCACCCTTTGTCAAAATCAGCTTGTCTACCTTTTCTATTTGTTCTGTTGATGCTTGGTGTATAAGTTGCTTGTGTGTAAATGACTCTAGATCTTTCCCCGTCAGGATATATGTGTGTGTGTGATTTTGAACCAATCATTGTTGTCATGTTTCATTACAGTGCTCCTGGGGTAGCAAGCCCACTCCACCGGGAACTGCTTCGAATCCTCTCCCCCCTCCTGCAGCTGCACCTCTGCCAGGCATTTCTGCAACTGATCTTCTGGCGTACGAGAGACAGCTAGCAATGAGCAAGATGGGTGGTGTACATGCCCTTATGCATCCCCAAGGACAGCACCATCTTAAACAGGCGGCGATTGGAGGAAGCCAGGCATTGTATGATGGTGGGTTTCAGAATGTTGCTGCTGCCCAACAAATGATGTACTACCAGTAATATAAAGGCTTCTCATTCCGCTATGGTTTAATGCTATCTATATATCATTATATCCTGCCTTGTGCACTTCGATCCGTGTTTAATGCCTATCTAGGGAGCACCTTTTTCTTCCTTTTCTCTACGTCTGTGGTGAGGTAGTTACCCCCCACCTTCTTAGATATGTTCAACATTTGTACGGCTTGTATCATGTATGCGGTTTTCTATGTAGTAGTGATGAGTGGTTATGGCTTTTAGAGGGTATGGCCGTTCTGTTATTTTCATTTGAGCCCTTTATTTCTTCTTCATTCCCCTTTGGGCTTTGGTGTCTTCACCGGCACTACATGTATGTAACATTGTGCGATGGTTTCATCCTCATGCCATCACATGTTAAGAGGCTCTTATATGATATCTAGTGAAGTCTTGACACAAGGTGTTCCCAAGTGTCTTGTTTGTTTGTTTGTTTGTTTTTTCCTTTTCAATTACTGTGGCTTGAAGTGGAGCTGTTGGCTGTCAATAAATAAACTCAGATTAAGGTTTGTTGGGAGAATTTTTTATAAGACATCCACATGTCGTGTATGTGCCTGTGATCTTGATAGTGATGGCAAATATTATCCACTTCTGTTACCGAAGACGTATGTGACTAAACTATTGGTTCCTTTTCATATTAGAGGGTCTGTGACGAGAAATGCATGCCCTTTCGGCCTAAATTGAGGACAAAATAATGTGGCAAGGGGTTTGAATCGAGCAGTATTTTAAAAGCCGGATTGGTCGAATCAGTTAAGGCATTGATTTTCAGTTCATTAGACAGACTGGTAGAACCATGTTCGGATTGGTTGTAATGAAATTAATGTTATAATAAAATGTTAGTAGTTTAATATAAAATAATAATATAAGAATAAAATTTCATAAAGTCATAAAATAAAAAGGATCAAATTAAATTTCTAACTCTTATTTTGATAAGAAAATTTCTATTATTTAAATTAAATTATTTTAGAAAACTAATAATTATTTATAAGTAAAAAATGATTTATTTTGAAGTCCCAAGCCTTGATTATTGGCTTGAGATTTGATTTGGAGCGGCTTCACCCAATAAAAAGATAGGTTTTATTTTTTTATTAAATCTTAAACAAATATTTTAATAAAAACAAAGAAATCATAACTGATGTAATCCCATTTCCCACGATTTTAGCATTGATAATGCACACCGCCCAAGGCAACTTTTTCCCATCTCTTCCCAACTGGAGTGCACGTCAAAGATTGCATTCTTAATTTCTCATGCATCAACTAACCCAATGATAACGGTTGTAACTCGCGAGGGACATTCAAAATTAGCACAAAGAATGCGCACGTTGGCGGCATTAGATACTTGCAGATGCTATCAAATTCTGCCTTCCCCGCAATTTACTCTGAATGATGTCATATCAAGCGCAAAAAGCCCTTCAAGTTCTTATAATTCTTTTTGACCAAGTTTTTTCTTTTCGAGTTTACAGTCACAATGATGCGGAACTGTCAACCAACGTAAATAAAGAAAAAGGAATTGAAAATTCCGCAGGAAACTGATGATGGCAAGCCAAAATTGGCAAACTATACCAAGTCTATGGTCATTATTTCATCGAACACGTAATCATAGCCATGTCAGAATGATTAGTTAATCCTTTTCCAACCTCGAAATATACTTGTCATAGAACTGACCAGCTCGCTCAAGGTCTCCAAGCTCAGTATAACAATCAGCAATTGCCCCATAAGCTTCAGTGTTTCCGGAGTCCTCTCCTTCTCTTTCAGAGACGGCCAACACCATGGAATGGTATTTAATTGCTTCTCGGTACTTGCCCTGCCTTTGCAGTGAGGCTCCTGTAAAAAGCAAATGTCTTAATTGTATTCAGCATCCCCAAGTATAATATTGCAAAAGATTATGATCACTATCTATGGATTTTCATTGAAGACTTGAACAGGTCGTTGAGATAATATCAGGGTTTTTATGACTAAGTGATATGTATTCTGGGCCAAAATTATATAGGGTTCGATATTTTCCCGTCCTTCATTTTCTAGTCAGAATTAAGCCCAGCAAAAGAAAAGGTAGGCCTATCTTTTGCTCACATTCTACGGCCAAAAAGGCTTCTGAGTTAAAGGGTGTGCTCACATTCACTTCAAAACTAAAGCTTTTGAATACAACCAACGAGCATGTAACTCAACTGGTAAGGGGCTGTGCTAGCTTAATTAGTGGTTTCAAGTTCTAGTCATGGGTATTCAATTGTGTTAAATGTTCATTGGGAGAGCTTTGCCATCAATGTGGTCCTATCCAGCTTGACCCATAAATAAGGGATAATTGTTTCACAAAGAGAGAGAGCGCTCTTGAATACAAATTGCACTCTGAAGGGTAAAGTGCAGTAGTTGCTATTCATGACAAATTCAAAGGATTAGATTCTCACTGATCTGTGAATTGTTTACTCAGTTGATTGTGTGGGATTCAAATATAAGTAGTCATTTTTTTTCATCAATGGCTGTTCATTCTGTTCTTTACTCTTTAAAGAACATCCTCTAAAGGTAAAATTTTGTTTTAACAGACAGACAATCAGCATGTCAGAGAACAGAAAAACAAGGAAATAGTAAAGATAACAAACCTAAACCTCTAGCAGCTTTTTTCTCCTCGACAGGATCCTTCAAATTTTGAGACATCTCAAGAGCCATCTTAAATTCTAGGAATGCTTTTTCTGGCTCTTGATTCCTTAGAAAGTTCTTCCCAGTTTTCAATTTGGAAATCAGCTCCTCTTTTCTTGGATCCACTATAACTTCATTTTCAAGTATCCTACCACCAACAGGAGCATAACTCAGGGTAGGAGCATAAGACTCAATTTTGGCTTGCCTCCTCAAAGCTGCATTGATCTGCCGTAGTTGATCATTCAGCCTCTTCAATTCCCCTCTCCGTTGCCTAGCAAGCAGCCCTGGTGCAAGATTAATAAATTCAGAGAAAGAACTGTATATCACATATCTTTAAACGTGCATATTGAACAAAACCTACTGGCATTTTTCAGGAAGCAAGAATAGTTTCAACTTGTGAATTGGGGTCTACAAATCAGAATCTGCTATGTGAATACACGTGTCAACTTGGATGTAATTTCCTTTTAAATTTCTTCCAACTCAAATTTCGTTCATAAGAGAAAATCCTTCTGCAGATGTCCAGTGAATTTGATATATGATAAACAAAAATAAGCTTTCAAGAGGCATATCATATCATCATGCTATGCGTCGCCACATCTTGAGCTTCAATGCTGGCTTCCCAAAGCTCAAGATTGGAAATCATGGAGAGAATTACTGCTATAGTAAGCATTGCACTAGCTGTCATGTCACAAAAGAAGTAAACTAATAAACTAAATCATAAAAAATAGCCAAGCCTTCTGAGGAAGGGAGGTGCATGAAATGGTGGAAATAAATTTCATACTATCTTACCTCCAACAGTGGCCCCAATGAGAGCTACTGATAGTAGTAAAGGCATGTTGAAAGACGAGTTATTAGCATCACATGTTTCTGCCAGAGCTTTACACGGGGTGGAGAGCATTAAAATATTGTTGGCAAGAAATAACATTGCCAGAAACGCCAGGTTTTTGTCTTCCTAAGAAAGAGATAACATTGATCAGATATCGTAAGATGCCAAACATAATCATTTACCAAGATGGATCTGAATATACTAGCAAGGGAGAATGCTGAAAATAAAACAAATTTGGAGCACGTAAACCTTTTATTGAACAGTGTAAATATTCCAAAATTTTCAAGTTTCCAGCATAGAGCAAAGGTAATGAGTTTAGATATGGAAATCAGCAGCTTGCAGTGCGAGAAAACAAAACATTAAGCAATTTCCAAAAGCATTTAGAGTTTATGGTAAAAAAACATGATCAGGAGTTTCACCTATCCCAATAAAAATATACAAAATACTATCCAAAGTGGACCCCTTGAGAAGGAGACTGTTCAAACACAGTATACAACGGCTCAAAATTCCCAATAAAAAAGCTTATAAAAGAAGTGCAGGACACACTAGTAAGAATGGAAGTATGTGAATATTGATACCATAGGAAAGGGCAAACAGTAGATATGCTTTAACTCACCGTCGTACCTGACAATTTGAGCAGGACAGCATAGGTTGAGTTTCCGAAGACTTCGCAAATGTAACTTTCAAGAATGGCACAAACTTTTCCACTTTCAAACAGAGAGGCGCAAATCTTCCTGTTTCAAGGCAACAAGTAAAATTATATAAGATTGTTACTTAATTTCTAATCTTCAGATTCATTCTTTCGATAAACTTGGTGAAAGTACCAGTTAAGGTGTTGGAATCAAGGATAAAGAGTTAGGCTGATGATAAAGAATGACATTGAAAATAAAATGTAAGAAAACATGCAATCATGATGTGGAAGCTGATTACACCTAGTGATGCAGTATAGCCAAACTGACCCAATAACAAGAGTCAGGATTATATCTAAAACTGAAACTCAATTAACAACAGTTCAATCCTCTTGAAAATTATGAAATTAAATCACTTTTCACTCGGAAAGACTAGGAAACCCAGCTAGAAAAGATAATTTTCTGGGTTCACAGCAAAATCTCACAAAGACAATTCCAATTTTGACCAAAAAATAAAGTCTTTTTATATTTTACATAAAAATAAGAAGTAAAAGAAGTTACACGGAGAATCATTTTCTCGTTTTCTTTTACATCGGTGTCTCCTTAGACAAAAGTTAATCACCGCCATTCAAGAATAAAGAAATTATAAATCATCAAGGATGACAAGAGGGAAGCATAGAATAAACCAAAGCAATTGAAACTACGGCTTAAAAACATAATTGCCGCTTAACATGCTAAGTAGATGCATAAAGTTCATGTTATGTTTAAACGAGAAACAGGGACGTTGTAGGGGAGATAATCATCATTTTAGCGGAAGCACTGACCAGGAACGAGGTCCATGTTGCCTGAAAATTGGCCGCGAAGCGGAGGTTGCCGTAAGTGAGGACGAGAAAGTAAGCAGGAACAGCGGAGCATGACCGCCATTGGAGTGCCGGTTCTGAGGACAAACGCAGGGAAATTGATTCTGGAAGTCTGCTGAGCTCGATTCATCGATTAACAGTACATTGTTTAACCAGATAACAATCTCTCACGGCAAAAATAACACTTCATGCCATTTTCGGTTAAAATTTTAAGAAACCAATATTATAGAGGATGAAGGGGCAAAATTACTTCCGTCAGAAGCATTGTGGAAAGTTGTCCGAAAAATTAAGCCAATGTACAATGGCTCAAAATGGCGAAGGCCTAAAATGAAAAAAAGGTTTACAAATATTTATGAAATTATTTTTAATACATATGTAATTAAATTAAAATGATTTGGCCAAGAAATTATTTTTTAGGTGTATCTATGACAAAAAAATAAAGTTATTGCTTGATCATAGATATACCAAAAGAAAAAAAAATTTATGGACATTCGTACATTATTTTTAAGCCTTTGTCTTATTATATATTAACTTAATTTTTAAATGTTATTATTATGTCTAAAATCTTATTATTGAAATATTTAAAATTATAATTATTATTTTCTAAAAGTCTACTGAGCATTATGTAGTTTGGTGATTATTTTAATTTTGAGAAAATTAATGGTTTTTTTTAGCAAAAAAAACTAATGATTGCATTGTTTTGATTTTATATTCTTTTTTGTGCATCAGAAAAGGAAAGAGAAAATAAAATAAAAAAAATTATGTATAATTTGTAGAACAAACTCATTTACAAATAAGTATCATGAACTTCAGGAATTTGAGTATAATTTAAAATTAGAGTACAAAGACAATAATACTCATATAAAAAATACACTACATCAACTAAGTAATTTACAATTATTTCATTATTAATTTATAACTATCATTTTAATTTTTTTACAGTTGTAACTTTATATATTTAATATTTAAACGATCTTGGATTATTAAAAAAGTTTAACACTAATTATATATAATTATGTTATAAGTAATTTATAACTATAACTTTTTTTTTTACAATTGTAACTTTATATATTTAATAAGGCATTGTTATTTTACACCCTAATTTTAAATTATATTTAAGTCTAAGGGAACCTAACTATAATTTTTAAATTTAATAAAACTTATTTATAAATAAGTTTGTTTTATAGTAGCAATACATAATTTTCCCAATTGAAAAAACTATTACAAAGGGTGTAAAAGCGGAAGACATTGAACTACATGGAAGACAAGATTAAAGATAAGAGAGAGTTGATGAATTAGCTGAAATTTAATATAAAGTTTAAAAGAGAAAACTTAGACTTTAGTCTATTTTTAATCATAAATTTTAAAATAATTTACAATTTTTAATTCTATTTAATTTAATCTTGTTTTTACTAATTATTTGAGGATGGCCAAGAAATAATGTTTGGACTGGGACTACAAAAAGAGATAGGATAAAAATTCTATTTTATATTTATATTTCATAACATTATTCATGACATCGTAGAATGAGTAATGCTATTTTATTCTTCTTTTATACGTATAACTGTGTAAGATAAGACATTAGTGTTTTTCTGTCAACAAGTTATTAGTGTATTTTAGCATACTGAGGATAGGATTGATGATTCTATGCCAGGAAGCTTTGTATTTTAATTTTTAACTGGTTTTTTTTTTTTTTTTTTTGGGTTTCAAACGAAACTTTATGGAAAAAGGGCAAAACGGTGCGTTGGTGACTGTACTCAGGTTTTGCACTTTGCAGAGCAGCGTCGTGCCGTCTTGACTAGCCTCCGAGTTGGAACCCAAGGGTTTAAATCATCATCCATCAACCATCACCTCCCGCGCTGCTAACTCTCAGGGTTTATTGGCCGCGATTTCCCGCACGCTTCTCGACGACGCCTCCATGGACGTAGAAATGGAGACTTCGCCGAGCTACTTCGATCCTCAGGACCTCACCATCAGGGATCAGTTTCGCAGATACAGGCAAGATTTCATTGCTCAAGTTTCTGGTTTCCCTTGTTCGCATTTTTTATTTCGTGCTCTTCTAAGCTCTCATCTTCGAAGGGATTATTCCGCAATGTTAAGTGATTCCGTCATTGTTAGTATTAGGTGGATGTGTGACATTTGAGCTCCGATATATTTTGATTGCGAAGAAGCATACTGGTCATGCTCACGTGTTTTATTTTTTATTTTTTTAAGGGAGGATCTTGAGTGTTGTATATTGATGGTTGGTGGTGTGACGAGGATGCTTATTGAATTATCACTGCCAGTAGTGGTGGTTGAAGAACTCAGTGGGATGATAGAGTTTGGGGGTGGAGGGATGATGAACTCACTTAATGACTTCTCATGAGACGAAGCTCTGAAATTCCTGTGCATGTGATGCGGTGACTGCCTTTAACCTAATTGTGACGGTGGGGTGGAGTCCTGAATATTGCAAGAAGGTGGAATATGGTTTCCACCTATTTGAATTCAGAGAAGCGATACTTTGGACTTTGTGCTTATAGCAGTGGTGTTTTCATTGAGAGGTTGATGTTACAGAGAAGACTACCCACATAGGGTTATAATCAACCTCCCATCGAGTGAAGTGCCTTGAAATGGAGCCATTGGGGATGTTGTCTCTCAAAGGGGGTGCATTGTTATTAGTCCCACATTGAGGAGCCTTATAAGTGATGCTTGGTTTATAAGTCTATGGGGTTATGAGCATAAAGTCAAAGGGAGAACCTAATCCCAAAAACTAGCTTGTTGAGAGGAAAAACCTCATAAACTTTTAAGCCACATTTCTCTTGTGAGGCTTCTTGATATGACACTCATGACATCATAATATTAACTGCAGAAATTTTTTTTTTACAAGCATTTTGTAATTTTTTCTAATCCCTTCTCTAATGCAACTGATGCAGGAAAAGGCACTCAACTTCCAGCACTTCAACCCCACCAGCAAACTCAGCTTCAAAATCATTTGAAGCTGGCCTTTTATATGATGGCCAAAACATCCATAGTCCCACTAATGCAGCACTTCTTCTTGAAAATATTAAACAAGAGGCTAAAAGTTTTGATGCTGGTTATCCAGAAGTTTCACCTGCAAAGACACATTTTTCTTCCAGAAGGAGTTTGTCTGCTGATACTCATGCAGGTCCTGATGTGGATTTGGGTTTTGACTCTATACGCCACTCGTTGAAGGCCTGTAAGCAAGAGGGTGACTCATTGGGGGATGGTGCTGAAACGATATTTACTTTATTTGCATCTCTGCTCGATTCATCTCTTCAAGGTGCTGTGAGTGTATCTTCTAATACAACGCTTCTGTGTCTTTGTTCTATTCATGTTTGGTTTGTTATAATGAAATGCTTTGAAGCTTGAAATTTGACATTGTATAAGTGTACATTACACTTTCTTGAAGCTTCTGGAAAATAATGTTAGAATCATTTGGGAAAAAGAAACATGATTGTCCTTGCTAATAATAGGGTGATTTGCTTGGTTTCGCTTTTGTGTTCATGTCCTGAGTTTTAGACTTCTTTAATTATATATTTAGGGGTCTTTATTGTACAGGTGCAATCATAGATGTCTTTTTGCTCTTCTTTCTGTTGTGTTTAGCAAGATAGCATATTGTCCCTCATTGTACTTTCCCTCTGTCTTTGGTAATAAAATATTTTGTTGTAGGAAAAAAGTGAAATAGCCGTTTCTGTAATTTCATGATCATATTAGTTGTTCATGCCACGGTGATGGTGGAGGGAGTTCTAGACCTCTTGGACTCTTGGTGTAAGATCACGTGCTTGTGTGTGTTTCACATTTACCAAAAGAAATAAGATTGGTTTTGCTTTAGTTTCATGGTGTATATTTTTACAGATTGATGTCTTTTCCTTATTTGATAAGTGTAAGATCATGTGCTTGTGTGCATCTATTTCTCATTTACCTAAACAAAGATGTTTTACTTTACTTTCTTGATGAATATTTTTACAGGATTGATGTCTTTCCCTGATCTGATACTAAAATTTGAGAAGGCATGTAGAAGTGTTTCTGAGTCTATCAGGTATGTCCACAACTATTCAGCACGTGTCAAACAAAATTTTTATGATGCAAGCATTTATACATATGAGTTTTAAGTAATTTTAAGTCATACTCCCTTCTGACTTTTTTATAAGAAACAAATAACTAAATCACACGGACCACTAAATACAGTTAAGATCAATAAATATCTGAGATTTATTTTTCCCCCAAAAAATGATTATATTGGTTGTTTGACACGGTGGCTGTGCATTTAGTAAATGAGGTTAGTTGTTTCTTAGATCTAGGCCCCCCCCCCCCCAAAAAAAAAACACTCTCAAATGGTTCTTATAAAGAGGTCCAGAGGGAGTATTAAATTTATCCTATGATTTCCATGTGGTTCATTCTTGAAATTTCTGGTGTTTTAATAGTTCAGAGACAGACAATAATCTTGAAGTATGAAGTTTTTTGAAGCTAAATACCTATGCATACACGCGCGCGCGCGCGTGTGTTGGAAGAGGGGTGTGGTTCTGAATAGGGGACTTGTTAGGGTTATTTGGAGCCTTTGCTGTATATTTACGGTCTTGCAAGAAGAAAATTGTTTAATATTTTGGGAAGCAGTGTATTTTTGGGCAGTTCTCTTCTATCTCTTGACAGATTCTTTTGTTGTTTAAGAGTAAAGGCAACTAGACCTAGCCTTATATATATTTTGGAACTACAATCAGAAGTGGAGGAAGTATTGTTTATCCGTTTAGTAACTACTCTGTTAGTGATATGCTTGTGCCTTCTGTAGGTATGGTTTGAATATAAGGCATCGAGTTATCGAGGATAAATTAATGAGGCAGAAAGCTCAGCTTCTGCTTGACGAGGCTGCAACCTGGTCTCTTCTGTGGTACCTCTATGGGAAAGGAAATATATCTCTATCCTTACATCTCTGTACTCCTGAAAAGAAATTATGTATCTGGCCCAGAATCTGTCATGGTGTAATTTTTTTTTGGTATTTTATTTCTTAGATTTCATATAACCTGTTGGGCAAAACTCTTTTTGGCTTTTGAGAAGAAGTTAAGATCCAAACAGAGTAGGATCTCAAGTTTTAAGTCTTAACCTTTTCTATTTTCATACCTCCAAGTTTCTTTTTTCTGCTCTTTTTAAGATGAATTGATTAAGTGAAAATAGGAATTTGTTCCTTCCAATTAACTGTTTCATGATGTATTCTATTTTTTAAGGAATTTCCTGATTTTATAGTAGAAACTTATCCAGGAAAAAAGGCACTTCCTTTAATTACCCTGTAATATTATGGAAGCCTCAATACCTTTGTTATGTAATGAACTGTGTTTGATGTCACATAATTTAACTTGGAAATTGCCATAAGTCAGGTTTATATTAAAGTTACATCTGGAGTAAATCACCTCCTCCATATTCATGCCCAAAAATATTTGAACTGAGCTAGGTCCGCAGCACACCTCCTGTTTTTCATGCCATCATTCTGTGAAATATGGACGCTTAACAGAAGAGCCATGCTTGTGTCTGATAAATATTGAAGATTCATATGAAATGCCATGTGAAACTATGAGTTATGGCACTTTAAATTTAAAATGGGCACTTTAAATTTTTCTCTGTTATTGTATTTTTGTCAGTGTGTGTGCTTTCTAGCTGCCATTGTTCTCTTTTGGTTTGTAATGCTTGCTGTCTTTACTTCTTGAGCGTTGATCTGATGGTTCTTGTTCTTTTGCAGTGACTGAAGAACTACCTAAAGAGTTAATAATGGTAGAGTGTGTGATAATATTTTAGTTGATTAAAGAAACTACCTTATTCTCATAGCTTTCCATTCCAACTTATTCAGATGGATTGACTTATTCCAGGTGCCAGGAACCTCTCATTTAGTGGCTTGTGAGTTTGTTGCAGAGGACCATACTGCACAGTTATGCCTCCGTATAGTTCAGTGGCTTGAAGATTTAGCTTCTAAGGCACTTGACTTGGAAGCCAAGGTGGTCTACTATATATCTATTTATTTATTTTTCCATGGAATGATGGAAAATTGACCTGTTCATGAGGAGTATACTATACATGAAAAGCAAACTTTGTTAGACAATGGCCTGGGACCTACATGTATTAAAAATGATCCCCTTAAAGACTATATAATAATATATGATCAAGTTTTAACAGTTTTGCAAACAAAATTCTCGAGATCAGACAGGGTTTTGGGTGTTGAATTTTGAGTATCTTGAGGATGTTTTGGGTTTGGTGATTTGGTCCTTTGCAGCATTTCTTGTCAATTACATGCTTTTTCCTTGTTAATCACATAACAAATGATAAACTTTTAAGATGAGGTCAATTATTAGTCATGCTTGAAAGAATTAACGCTAATATTTCATAAAAACATGTGGAGACCAAATAAGGCATCACCCCTGGTCTGTGCTTGGTACATTATGTAATATGAGAACCACAATTGCCTTATGTAATTTTAATACGTTGATCTGTTGCTTTTAAGTTGTAATATCGGGGGAACTGCCTTTGGACCTTCATATTATAGGACCTATTGCTGACTCTGTTTAAGGGAATTGGGAAATGTATTAAAAAAGGAAGTAAAAGTGGGTATGTGTTTTGCTTGAAGTGTTTGCCTCCATTGTACAATCATTTTTAATTACATCAGCTTACCTGTTTTCATATTCTTGCCCTAGGAAATAATTATTTTGTTTGATGTTTATAACGCAACATTAACTGCAGATTTGTGGATCTCATGTTGGTACTTACCTCCCAAATTCTGGAGTTTGGCATCACACTCAACGTTACCTAAAGAAAGGAACATCTGACATGAACATTGTTCGTCACTTGGATTTTGATGCCCCAACTCGCGAAAATGCAAATCTTTTAATTGAGGACAAGGTGTTTTCTGTTAACCAATTTACAATTCTTTTATGGCCTATCTTTGACGTGTCATCTCTTGGTTATATCAGTGATCTATAATAACAACAACAACAACAAGCCTTTATCCCACTAGGTGGGGTCGGCTACATGGATTGCAAGACGCCATTGTGCTCTATCATTTATTAACCTTTTAGAAATATTATTAATTAAGAGATCACGTTCAACAACTTCCAAGAGTGTTCTCTTAGGCCTTCCTCTACCTCTCTTAATCGGACTCAAAGTTATATGTTCCACTCTTCTCACTGGTGCCTCCCTTGGTCTTCTTTGTACATGCCCAAACCATCTCAACCGATTTTCTACCATTTTTTCCTCAATAGGTGCCACCCTCACTTTTTCACGTATATGCTCATTTCGAATTTTATCTTTACGTGTATGTCCGCACATCCATCGTAACATTCTCATCTCTGCTACTCCAACTTTATGCTCTTGCTGTCCCGTTAGAGCCCAGCATTCACTACTATATAACATTGCCGGTCTGATAGCAGTGCGATAAAACTTTTCTTTAAGTTTATTAGGTACCTTACGGTCACAAATAACTCCTTTAGCTTTTCTCCAATTAAACCATCCAGCTTGAATTCTATGTGAAATATCTCCACTGATTTCGCCATCATTTTGAATAATGGCTCCCAAATATCTAAACTTTTCCACTTGAGGTATAATTTGATCTCCCAATTTCACTTTCAAATTATTTTCGAATAGTCCTTTACCAAATTTACAATATAAATATTCCGTCTTAATTCTACTCAGACGAAAACCTTTCGACTCCAATGTCCTCCTCCATAACTCAAGTTTGCAATTAACCTCTTCTCTTGTCTCTGCTATAAGAACTATATCATCCGCGAAGAGCATACATTTCGGGATTTCCTCTTGAATATGTTTCGTCAAAACATTTAAAATCAAGTTGAACAAATAAGGACTCAGAGATGATCCCTGATGTAGTCCAATCTTTATAGGAAAATCCTTTGTTTGACCACTAGGCGTTCTTATACTAGTTTTTACCCCCTCATACATATCTTGTATGGCTTTAATATAAGCAATCCGTACTCCCTTTTTTTCCAACGCTTTCCAAAGCACTTCTCTTGGTATACGATCATAAGCTTTTTCCAAATCAATAAAAACCATGTGTAGATCTTTATCTTTACAACGATACTTTTCCATTAAACCCCTTAGTAGATAAATCGCCTCTGTAGTTGATCTACCTGGCATAAAACCAAATTGATTCTCAGAAATACTTGTCTCCAATCTCAACCTGTGCTCAATTACTTTCTCCCACAATTTCATTGTGTGGCTCATGAGTTTAATCCCTCTATAGTTAGTACAATTCTGAATATCTCCTTTATTTTTATAAATAGGAATTAATGTACTTCTCCTCCACTCATCAGGCATTTTCTTGGACCGTAAAATCACATTAAATAACTTAGTTAACCATCTCACCCCTTCTTCACCTAAACATTTCCACGCTTCGATAGATATACAATCAGGTCCGTTAGCTCTACCATTTGCCATTTTCTTAAGAGCTTCCTTTACCTCCTTATCATGTATTTTTCGATAGAATGACAAATTTTGTTCTCCTTCACCAGTTACTAAATCCTCCAAGTTACTAGATGAATCCTCTCCATCATTGAAAAGTTTAGAAAAATAAGTCTCCCATCTATTTTTAATTTCATCATCTGTAACTAAAATTCTTCCCTCTTCATCCTTAATACACCTTACCTGTTCTAGATCTCTTGATTTTCTTTCCTTACTCTTGGCAATCTTATAAATATTTTGCTCTCCTTCCTTCGTCTCAAGGTTCTTATAAAATTCTTCAAAAGCTTTGGAACGAGCTTCACCCACAGCTCTCTTAGTTTCCTTCTTAGCCATACGGTACCTCTCTCAATTTTCCTCATTGTTACACAAATGTATGGCTTTAAAACAGTTCTTCTTATACTTGATTTTGTCCTGTACACTATTATTCCACCACCAAGACTCCTTATCTCTCGGACCAGAACCTTTCGATTCTCCCAAAACTACTTTTGCAACCTCCCGTATCTTTTTAGCCATATCCTCCCATATGATGTTAGCACTTCCCTGAGAATCCCAAATTCCTTTATCCAAAAGATTTCGCTTGAAAATATCTTGCTTCTCACCTTTTAATTGCCACCACCTAATCCTTGGTGTTACTACTTGTCGACGTTTTTGGATTTTACTCATAATACACACATCAAGGACTAGGACCCTATGTTGTGTCATTACAGCATCTCCAGGGATCACCTTACAATTTTTACAAAGTTTTCTATCTGTGTTCCTAACCAAAAGAAAATCAATCTGCGACCTTGAGGCTCCACTTTTGTAAGTGATGAGATGCTCATCTCTCTTCTTGAAACAAGTGTTGTCAATCTTAAAATCATACGCCAATGAGAAATCAAGAAGAGTTTGCCCTTCATTGTTTAGCTCTCCAAAACCAAAACCACCATGCACCCTCGCATACTGACTAGCTTCCCTCCCGACATGCCCATTAAAGTCTCCTCCAATAAAAATCTTTTCACTCTGTGGTATGTGTCGAATCAACCCCTCCAGATCCTCCCAAAATAATTCCTTAAGACTGGCTTCTGTCCCGACTTGCGGCGCATAAGCGCTAACAATATTAACAGTCTCACATCCAATTATCATTTTTAAAGAAATAATTCTGTCTCCAATTCTGCTAACTTCTACAACGTTCTTCTTCCACTCCTTATCTATAATGATGCCTACTCCATTGCATGCACTTACTTTTCCTGTTTACCAAAGTTTGAAACCTTGAATATCCTTAGCTCCTTCTCCACGCCATTTTCTTGTGCATTCATCTTTGAAATAATCCAAGTTTTATTTTGCATAATCATAATCAGGGTGGGGAACAGTGCACTCCAATGTTACAAAATTGTATTTTAAAAATTTGGTCGTGCAAGTACGCTCACATGAATGGCTTTATAATAATCTCTCTCTTTCTACGAAGCATGGACACAGATATTTTGACATTACAAAATTCGAGTGTCCATGTGTAAATTGGAGTTTCATGTTGGGTCTAACATAAGTGTCTAACAATGGTAACATGCATTCAAACTTCTTTTTTTTTTTATATTCATTGGGGACATATTGTACTTTTAGAAAATTGCCTGTATCAGCTGTGTAGATGACTCAAAGCTAGCTTGTTCTAGGTTTGCATTGTATCTATAGTTGTCATGTGAAAGGCTCCTGTTTTAGTGGGTGAACTGTGCACGTTCAACATGTTGGTCTAGATCAGCACATGTCCTATTCTATAAATCTTATTTCTAGTTTTTATTCCATCTGATAATGGATAAAGTCCTCCGTTTTGGTTAATATTGGGAAATTAGTGTCTTGGAGATATTTATCAAAATCACTCCAATGCATTTTCCTAATATTTTAAGGGTCGAGAATGATGTAGTCAATTGATATTGAAAAGGGCAGGTGAGATGTGCATGCACGTGGCTGTATATGCTCTACATCTTAAAATTGTTTATTTCTGTGTAGAAACAAGACGAATCTCTTTTAGAAGATGTGTGGACTCTTTTAAGGGCTGGAAGACTTGAAGAGGCATGTGAGCTTTGCCGGTCTGCTGGACAGGTGAACTTAACTTTAAACATGATTAGTCTGTGGACTACAGAAGCCTATGCTTTCCACTACTTATCAGCTTGTCTTAATACTTTTGCAGTCCTGGAGGGCTGCTAGTCTATGCCCTTTTGGAGGTTTGCAGCAATTTCCTTCAGTTGATGCTCTAGTGAAGAATGGTAAAAATAGAACTCTGCAAGCCATTGAACTGGAAACTGGGATTGGTCATCAATGGCATCTTTGGAAATGGGCATCATATTGTGCATCAGAGGTAGGATTGTGTGTTTAACTTTGTCTTTGATTCTCTTAATGTTAGTATATTAATGTTCGTCTTGTTACCATATTCATGGGCAAATTTCACAGTATTTTTATTTTTTTTATTTTTTGTAAAAGAAAATTGAATGTGTTATACCCCAGAAGTTGTTCTGAATATTTTATATATTTCTGAGTGGCTTCTTCCTCTGCAAGGTTTTTTTGGTTAAATTGTTTTTATGCTAGCAGTTCCTTCTATGAAGCTGTAGTGCTTCCCTCCACTTTTCCCTCCTATTTTTTGGTTTCCCTCTCTTTTGAGATTTGTGGATTTTTGACAAGTGGATGAGGTTGTTTCTGTTTATTTTGGCTTTTCATAACCTTTCCTGAAATTAAAAAAAAAAAAATTCATCTCATATTTCTTTTCACAGAAAATAGCGGAGCTTGGTGGGAAATATGAAGCAGCAGTATATGCAGTCCAATGTAGCAATCTAAAGCGGATGCTTCCCCTTTGCACAGATTGGGAGGTCTGAATCTTTTCCTTCATTTACATAAACTTTTTATTTGTTATTGCGAAACTCTTGACAGTTCCTTCTGGATGCACGCATACTTGACACTATTTTGAAGCACTTTTTGTTTATATTCAACTGCATATGTTAAACAAAATCATGTGTGCAAAAACACTTACCAATGCTTTTCTGCATGTAGAATTTTAGTATTCTGTTGAAGAGGTTCTTGGGCAACTACCTAGCTAGGTGCCGTCCCGCATTGTTCAGTTTGGACATATAAGAAATATTTGCAATAGAAGACTGATCTGTTAGGATAATTCTGGGTGATGAAAATATTGAAAGAGATAGAGGAAAAAGAGAGAAGAACAGGAAGGTTGGGGAAGGGTTAGAGAAGCGAGAGATGAGACAGAGAAGAATTAGAAATGTGAGAGAGAAGGAGAGATTGAGAGGAAAGGAATACTAGGAATTTGCATAATACTTGTGTGATTATTCAGAGAGCCTTACAATTCAAATGTTTCATTATTTATAGGCTTCACGCTGACACTCCCCCAACAGCTAAATCCTAACAACTGTCATTTAAATCTAAGCTAACTAATATTTTACAAAACTATAGCAAGGACCATTTTTTGCAGCAACATTTCTATCAAAGATTATCATAATAAATTAGAGTTACTACTTGTTCATATTAGTGTCTATTGACGATGAGCCATGAAAGAAGTCCCACATCTAAAAGTTGTAAGAAAAATAAAGAATATATGAGCTTGTGGCAAGCCTAGGCAAGTAGCTTTAGCAATTTTGGCGAAATGGACCAGTCTAAGCACAAAACCATATGGATGCCAAATAGATGGTGGTGATGGACTTGGCTTCACTTCAGGACAATACAAAATTCACATGGTATCAAAGGTTGAATTGATCCCATAATGATCCTGATTGGGATGGGGTTAAAACACCAACAACTAGAGTGACAGCACCATCGCAGCTGCTGTCGCAGAAGGTTACATAGCTTCTGTTCCGATTACTTCACATCATTTGAATGGTGACACTTATCTCTAGCATTCATCAAGTGTTCTATACATCTGAGCCAGAGTGAAGGCTGGATGTCTCACTGGTATTGTGGTTGAACTTGATCCTAGAAACACCAAATATGCAGTATGGGAGGCAGAGAGCAGCATGATCTAGTTGTGGCTTGTCAATTCAATGACTTCTGAGATAGTAGCCTACCTTAGTTCTCTGACAACATTGTCTAGAAATTGCACATTATCTCTTGTCAATTTTTCATCTTTTGGGGCTTCGCCAATGCTGTAGCTGTGGAGATGATCATAAACTAGGTTTTCAATGTTGGTTATCATTGTTCTGAGCATGATTTTGAATTAATACAAGTAGAACAACTGGAATCCTGTAGAGAAAACCTTGAATCACAAGCATTGGTAGGTTGAAGAAAGTAGGCCTAATTTAGAGCCTACCTTGTCAGGAAATGTTCAGATTTATTTTGTGAATCCTGCTAAATTCCTGCTGTTTTTGATGCCTTTATTTTATGGTACCAGGCCTTTCCCTGCCCTTAATGCTGACACTTAGCTACTAGTTTCTGAATGGGTGCACTGTGCAAGAATTGTAGAGCTGGAGCAATTTTGCTTAGTTTTACTGCCTAATATACTTGAAGGACTTAATTTTGTAATGCTAAAGTTTTTGTTAAACTACTATATATATCTTATCTTTCTGTGAGGGCTTTTTAGCTGGTTTCTCAATTTAGCCTGCTATGTATAACATCAAAATCAAATATTGAATTTAATGTGCTGCATAGAGCTGTTAATCTTCTATCATTTAAACAGTATTGTGTATTATTCTTTGGAAACTTTTATGTATACAGTATTCTAAATGATATTGAATTTGCATTGCGAGAACCTCTTGGTAATAACAATCTGATGTTCTTTTCTGCCAGTTGCATGCTTCTTACCTTTTCCTCTCTCCAACTGACATTTATGGGAGTTGATCAATGGGTTCTATTATAGTTTTTGCACATTGAGTAAAAGGAAGGAGAGCCATTGACTCATTGATCATTTTTCTGTCCAATAATCAAAGTTATATGGTGTTAATTATTGATATGGCTGAATTTGTTAAAGAGGTGAATATTTGGAGGAGAATTATGGATCTTACCCCTCCACACCTTGGCTTGGCTGATATGGATTTTGGTTCATACAAAATAGCTAAGTGTTTGGTTTAGTGACAGCAGGCTCAAAGGAGAGCAGTTAAGGGCCTGCTTGTTTCAGCTTAATCGTTAAGTGATTTTTAGTTGTTGTTATTGATTTTATAATAAGTGATTTACTGAGTATAGATTTTATTAAAAAACAATTGTTTTATGTTTGGTTATAATTATAAAGTGATTTGTTATTTAGTAACTTTGAGATTTTGTGATATCTTTATGGATCTCTGTTCATAAAAAATGATTTATTATTCAGTTATTTTTAAATTTTATTATCTTTGTATTTTTATGACATTCTTTATAATATACTGCATTTGATTATTTTTATAAATTGCTCAAAGTAGTTTTTCAAAATAATCAAAAATATGTTTTGTTTTTAGCTTCTGATTATTTTTAAAAGTTAAAAAAACACAACAAAATTTCCTAAAAGCAATTTTCCTTTTCAAAAAATCAGTGATTTTTCAATGGAAAAAAGCTTTAACAAATAGCCCTGAATTAGCCTTTTTGAAGTTTTTGATTGCATAGTAGGAACGGAAACTTACTGGTCATAGTCTGTTTTGCACGTACACATGGTCAATTAAATTAGCTACTGATCCCTGCCTCTTTGAATCACTTCCACTATTGTTGATTTGATTTTTTTGTTTAAACTCAACTTTCGCAGTCAGCATGTTGGGCAATGGCAAAGTCTTGGCTAGATGTACAGGTGGACTTGGAAGTCACACGTTCACAGGCAGGGGGAGAAGATCAACTAAAAACTTTTGTAGATATACTTGAGGGAAGTCCTGGACATGCTGATAGCTCCCTTGAGTCTGCAGATGCACCTGAAAATTGGCCATTTCAAGTTTTAAATCAGCAACCACGGCAAATTTCTTCTCTTCTTCAGAAGCTTCATTCAGGGTAGCTGCTGAAATCTTATCACATTTCTGTAATCTTTCATGCATACGTACATGTATACATATATACATATATTTAATTGTTTTCTCCATCTGTTTAGGGAATTAGTCCATGAAACGGTTACTCGACAATGCAAGGAGCAACAACGACAAATTGAGGTATCTTCATAGAGTTTAAGACTATAGGCAGTCCTCCCTTAGATTTTTGGAATCTTTTTTTGTCTGACATGTACACTGAGCTCCATGCTCTTAGCATATAGCTTTCCTATTGTATGGCTTAATGTCTGAAATGTAGATCTGTTTTGGGTGATTGGTATGTTGGAGGCTGTATTTGATCATTAGTGGGTCTCATAACTCCTACCTTATGAAATTAGAGGACAAAGTCTGGACTGCTGGATCTTGCTAAAGAAGACATTATGTTGATTGTTGAGAAAGAAGAATGATACCAAAAAATGAAAAAAGGGATTAACTAATATACTTCTGTCCTCCAGATTTGTGTTTTTTATTTACTGATCTATTGAACTGTACATTGTTTGACAGATGATTTTAATGGTAGGGGACATACCACGTCTGCTGGACCTGATGTGGTCATGGATAGCACCTTCAGATGATGATCAGAGTGGATATAGGTAAATTTTGTTACATTCCTTTCCCTAAAAAAGTTTTATTTTTCTATCGATAAAACTGGTTAGAATTGTTTTAATGATCTAGAAAATAGTATATTTTTTCTATAATGAATTTGAATTTCTCCTCAAATAGGATATAGTGCCCTGCACCATTCAAAAATGCACCTTGCAGTAAACTTAGATTTATTATTTTGTAGTTATTATTAGATGTTGAATTTTGTTTGGTCCTGAAGGAAGTAAAACCTGGTCCGTCACCACTATCAATTCAACATTCATAATGGGCTTGTCTACACATGGTTTACTTTCTTAAATCTTGTGCTTTTTGCAAAAATGACTTGGTGTGATGGAGGTGTGAATGGGAACGGTTGATCAAAATCCTTTATTATTTCCTGCAGGCCTCACGCAGATCCTCAAATGATTCGATTTGGTGCACATCTAGTGCTTGTGCTTAGACATTTACTTGCTGATGAAATGAAGGATGCCTTCAGAGACAAAATTCTAACTGTTGGTGATCTTATTCTGAACATGTAAGAGTTTTTTGTCAAGTTCTTTGTTGTCTTAGCATATAGGCTTCGAGTGAATGTGATTAATACAATATTTTCCTATGGAAAGTGGAGTGAAACAACTTGTTCAAAGCGTGAGATGACTTCTACTTTAGTCTTTCATCATAGTCTTTACTTGCTGATCAAACTTGTGATATTTGAACATTGCACACCTATTTCCTGATTGAAAAAGGGGATTATCTAAAATTATGGTCAATTTAAGTAATGCACGCCACCTCCCTTGTTCACAATGCCTACCCTATTTTGAGTATCTGTTGTAGCTAGGATTTTGAAATGGTATTATGATGTGTAATTCATAAAAGAAATATTAAAGATTAGTTAGTATTTAGATAGTTGGGTGGTTAGGTTTTGTTAGAATACGAGCGTAAGGCAGGGCCTATATAAACAGTCCTATATGACTCAGGTTATGCTTAATGTGAAAAACCCAGAAATATATTCAATTCTCTCTCTACCCCTGTTTCATTTTTCCCTCTTCTCTCGTCACTCATCTTTCTTTCCTATTTCTCCTCTTTTTGGTTCTGTTTCTCTCTTCTTCTCTCTTCATCTCCTTCTACTATTTCATATTACTTTTTCAATGTCATTTTATGTTATATATACACATATTTATGTTGCTTTGTTTCTTTTCTTCTATTTTCAGGTGGATTTACCTATTAGGTAGTTTTACAATGTATTGTTGGAAATGACATTTAACACGTGATTATTCTTCGGCCTTAATTCTTCAGTTGTTTCCTTATTTTACTTTGAGGCTTTGATGCCTTTATTTGTTTCCTTATGTTTGTCAGCTAATGGGCCATGGTTCTACGGAATTTCATTGGCAGTTTCTTCTCTAGAATAACTCCTTTGCCCCCCTTCTTTTTTGGGTGGGATAATGAGAATCAAATGCTGTTTTTCCTCAATTGGCTTCCTGCGTTTTGTCTATGTTCATGTTTTTTGCCTTTTCAAGGGTGATTGACTGAAGCTTCTTGTTTCTCCATTGTCCTATAAATTTCAACCTATTGCAATCTAAAGAAAATAAGAAATTTTTAGAGTGATGTTCTTCATAGCATTAGAGCCAGAAGGCCTGAATGACAAAATACTGGTAGGTTAGTGTGAGAAAACCGTATGTCTATGGGTTAGCATGAGAAAATCAAGGCCTCTCGCAATAGGTGGGATGAGTATGCCCAAAACCAAGTCCCTTGATATGAAGAGGTATGGCGATGAAATAAAAATCATGAAGGCATCATAGCTAGGAGAAATGAAGATGACAAACGGGCAGAAGCCACAATGATAAAAAAGTGACAAGGAAGAAATTTTCTCTGACAGCCTCCAAATCCCAAGAGAGAAGATTGGTAAGGCGAGGTCCAAGCTGTTCTCAGCTTGAGGGGAGTGTTGGAAATCACATTTAACATGTGATGTATTTAGCTTTGATGTCTTTATCTGTTTCTGCAGTTTAATGTTTTGATGCCTTTATTTATTTCCTTATGTTTGCTGGTCATTGGATCATGATTCTTGGGCATTTAGTGGTTAGTTTCTTCATAAGAACCTCATGGATTTTGCTGATTAGTAGGCTGAAGTTGAAATTGAATGCTACTTTTCATTAAATAACTACCTAAGTCAGGAGTCTTTGTTTTTGTTTTTGTTTTCTTTCAGAGGAGTGGTCAAACCCTCTATGACCTACATTCTCTTATAAATTGCAACCATTTGGTTCAAGATAAATTGAGAAATTTTAGGGTGAAATTCTTATATAAATATCATTTTCTTATTTTATTAGAAACACCTATTTTTATTAACATTCTGGTATAAACATGAACGACTGTTGGAACGTTTTTTTTTGGATCCAGTGTCTATCTATTATCTAAAATGTGAGCAATGCCATGCTGGCTTCTAATGTTGTTTTCTTATAATAATCATTGAAGATGGCCTATCTTTATTTAGAAGATTGCCTAAGCTTTCCTTCTTATTGTATGACTTCCTAGTCTTCAGTTAGATGATTTATACTTTGTAGCATATGATAGAATCCGAATAATTCTCTGGTGAATGAAAATTTGCTTCACTCTATATTAATTGCTTCAGTAAATTTCAGGTATGCTATGTTTCTGTTTTCAAAGCAACATGAGGAGTTGGTTGGTATATATGCTTCTCAGCTTGCACGTCACCGATGTGTTGACCTTTTTGTACATATGATGGAACTAAGACTGAACAGCAGGTCTCCTGAATTCTCCCTTTATGTCTATTTTCCTCTTTATATTTTGCAATAATCCCGTTGTTGCATGGAAGGACATCCTAAATAGGATGCATCCAGCATTTCATGCTTGCACTATGTTGAGAGCATCGACACTAACTAAATTTGAAGATAATAAATAACACCTATGGTGCTTTCATTCGCAGTGTACATGTCAAGTACAAGATATTCCTTTCTGCTATGGAGTATTTACCATTTTCTACTGTGGATGATTCTAAGGGTAGTTTTGAGGATATTATTGAGAGGTATTAACTTGTGTTTTATTTAGAATTGATCGAATAGAAATGATCTGTAAAATATTCATATTCATATGTTTTTAATAACTCCATTATAATTTACTGGATACAGAATTTTGTTGAGATCCCGAGAGGTCAAAGGTGGAAAATATGATAAGCTATCGGATGTGGCTGAACAGCACAGGTTGCAGAGTCTTCAAAAGGCTAAGGTCATCCAGTGGCTTTGCTTTACACCTCCATCTACAATCACTAATGTTAAAGATGTTAGTGAAAAGCTTCTTATCCGAGCATTAGTACATAGGTAGGCGATACATTGCATTACTTCCTTATCTTATAGTATTTTCTTTTGAACAGTGTGCTAGTGATGAAACTTTGAGGCCCATTGACATGCTTCCCTCCCCAACACTACTTTTATTGTATAAATATTTCTCACTTCTTATCAGTCTTAAGAATGCTTATTCATATTCTCTCTGTCTCTTTTTCCTAAACATTAATATTTGTAGTTCCTAGGTTCTTACAACCCTATCTGACCAGTCCCTCTTGGGAACTGTTGGCGCACATACAGTCTTTATGCCTTTGCATTTAAGCTATGGCAGTTTTTTTCCTTTATTACTCCTGAATTTTAATTTTGTTTCCTGTAATTTCTTTTTCCTTGTAGCAATATACTCTTCAGGGAGTTTGCTTTGATTTCTATGTGGAGAGTTCCAGCAATGCCAATCGGTGCCCATACAGTACTTAGTTTTCTCGCTGAACCCTTGAAACAGCATTCAGAAACTCTTGATGAGGATTACAATGTTTCTGAGGATCTGAGAGAGTTCCAAGACTGGGTATCATTGAATTACTCTTAGTTTGGTTGTTTTAGCTTAATCACATTATTCCAGGTGGACAACTGCATAACATATGCATATTATGCATTTAACTAGAGCGAGTATTACTCCTGCGATGCAACCTATCGCAATTGGCTCAAAAATGAATTGGAGAATGCAGAAGTTCCTGTACCTGAACTCTCACTGGAGGAAAAGGAAAGGGCCATATCAACTGCTAAGGAAACATTGAATGCATCTCTTTCATTGCTAGAAAGTTAGTTTGTTGGACCATCTCTTTATGGAAAAACCATCTTTGAGAAACACGTCAGAATATTCTAATGTTTATTCGTGAATTTTTTGTTGCCCTTTTGAGTTGAGTTAGGACGTTGACGTTTTAATTATTGTTACATAAGTCATGCACCTTCTCTATGTAGGAAAAGAAATACCTTGGTTGGTATCCATTGCCGATCATATCTATGAATCTGCTGAACCTGTTTATCTTCAACTTCATGCAACTGCAATGCTCTGCCTGCCGTCTGGAGAGTGTTTGTGTCCAGATGCCACTGTATGTACTACGTTAATGAGTGCCCTCTACGCTTCAGCAGGGCAGGAGGTTGTCTTGAGTCGACAACTAATGGTATGTTCAGTCTTAATTGGATGATTATTTTGCAAATAAGCTATAATGTGTATCATATACATAATAATGTTTCGAAGCTTTGCTATCTTTTGTTACTGCTAGTGATTTCACAATATCTGTCAGCCTTTGGATTTAGAAGCTTGAACCTGTCATTTTGAGTTACCAATCAAATTGTTAGGGAAAACTCAATGTTTGTCAACACTCTAAACAAATAATTACAAAGGAAGTTGCTGCCCTGTGTTTGGATCCAATTATTCGTTATCAGACTTAAGTCCCATATTGCAAGTATGGGATTCTAATGTGAGATTGAAATGAACCTTTGCTCTTTGATCCATGAGCTAGGTCTTAGGGTATGGTTCTCCCAGAGGTTCCTTTCAATTAGTATGCAAGCTTTCCATTGCAAGCTGCCTGTGTGCAGCGTTGCTGGTGATGCTGCTGTTGTAGTGTTAGCTGGGGGCAAGTAAGAGTGTAAAAGGCTTGCTTTTAGAGTTGGAAAACTCAATTTTTGGTCCAGTGAATGAGATTTGTTTTCAGAGAGATTGGAGGCTATATTATTTTGATGATTCTTGTGTTTATTGTTTGGCTAAGATATACAAGTTTAACCCTTTTGTAAATTTATAAATTTAACCCTTTTGTAAATTTATTTAAAACAAGGCTTGCTTTGAATAGGTTTTACAAAGCATTTTCTCTTTTAATTTTTGCAGAGACCTGTTGTAGCTCACCAATGGTTTGTAGTTGATCGCAAGCATATTTGCTAGTGATAATAATTTTGTCACGTACACCGTTTCCATCTCACCATTTGTTTGATTTGTTATTCCCTTACATATCATAATAGTGTGGTGCTTGGCCTGCACATCGTCTGCAGGTGAACGTCTCAATATCATCAAGGGACAATTATTGCATTGAGGTTGTTCTTCGTTGCTTAGCAGTGGCTGGAGATGGACTTGGGTCTCATGAACTTAATGATGGTGGTATTCTTGGCGCCATTATGGCTGCTGGTTTCAAAGGTGATAATATAGTTGATGTATAGTTGAACTACTTGGTAGACAAGAGGTGCTTTCTTTTAGAGTTGAAAGTAATGAATTTTGATGAAATTCATTTCTGACCTGGAGATACTATGCGAGATCTGTATGGCAAATGAGTAGAAGACCTACTAAAGGAAATGATTTTCTGTTGCAGGTGAGCTTCCTCGGTTCCAAGCCGGAGTTACAATGGAGATATCTCGATTGGATGCTTGGTATTCTGACAAAGATGGCTCTCTGGAGTGCCCAGCAATATACATTGTGAAAGGCCTATGTCGTAGGTGCTGTATTCCAGAAGTCATTCTTCGTTGCTTGCAAGTAAGTCCAAGTTTGGCATTGACCTTTATTCATCCCTCAACTATGGTTTGTGTGTTGACCAGTCCAAGTGTCATGTGGTCGATGCTTGCTGTCTTTTCCACATTTTCAGGTTTGTGTTTCTCTTGCTGGAGTAGGAGTCCTGGCAGATTGCCATGATAAGTTGATTGAACTTGTCGGCAGTTCAGAAACTGGTTTCCTTCACTTGTTCAGTCAGCAACAATTGCAGGTATGTTAGTAATAGCTTGTACTCTAAGTGCAAATTTGTCATTTGTTTTACACCTTTCTCGTTCATCTACAAATAAATTTCTGTTGTCATTTTTTTTTGGCCCCCTTCTGGTTCATCTACAAATAAATTCTCAGTTCGAGCTTTTATTGCAAATATTTAATTTCTAACTTTCGCGCAGGAGCTTTTATTGTTTGAGAGGGAATACACAATCTGCAAAATGGAACTCGCACAGCAATGATTATTGCCCATTGTGCAGAACTTGATCTAGGAAGGGGGAAGCCTTCTGGATAATGATTGATTTCATCCTTGCACTACTTTTTCTGCTTCTCTCTCATTCACCTACCTTGTACATAATGTTGTCTTATTTAAAATACATGTTAATCGGAATTTGAATGCCCGCGGCTTGCCCGAAGTATTACCATCTACTATTGGTAACCAAAGCGTTGGGCCCTTTTGTTAAAATATAGCCTATTAATAGCATATACTACACTTGAAATACGTAGGTTATGTGGAATGCACATGAAGATTGCAATCAGACACGTGCCATGTCACACCCTGAATTTTTAAAGTGTGACTGGTTGAAATGTAAAAAAACTCATATTTTATAAGCCAAACTCATATAATGTTTAATGTTTTAATTACTCAATCTTAACATATAATCGGAACTTGTATTGAACAAATACTATTGGTAACAAAATATTCAAGTTTGTTGTAGAAATTTTAAGAGTTTTCTTTATAAGTTAGACCACTTAAAATCTTTACAATCTTTCAAAAAAATTCAAGCAACGTTTGAAGTTTTACTCTGATATAGTATATATATACATCTAATCCAGAACATTTTAAATAAGGATTTTGTTTATAGGATTTGTGGAGTAACTCTAGAGCAAAAATAAAATATTTAAATATTTACATTAATTCACAATGTGAATGGAGCAATAAAAATACTTCTCGTCTTGAGTCCTATGAGGTTTACTAAAGAGTAGGTTGATTTCAACTATTTAAATACCAAAAATTCTTTTAATAAATAAATCCCTAAATAATATTAATAAATAAAAATGACAATTGTAAGCATATATAATACCAAATAAGAGATTGATTTAATATCAATGGTATTAAAAAATAACCATACAATTTATCATTGGTAATTGAGTAACAAAATAAAAAAGGAAAATGGAAATCGTAATCATCAAGTTAGGAATATATTCTTTATATAAAATAAATCATAAAAATACAGTTCTTAAAAACAATAATATAATTTGAAAGATTTCTTTTTGTTAGGATTTGAACAGAACAAACAACAGGAGTAGGCATACAGTTCACAAAGGTAAGTAACATTGACATGATTAGAAGCCATGAAAAACAAGTGCAAGCATAAAACTTACAAATAACGAGCATGGATTATATCATAAAATTTCATTCTTCCTTCCACGTGTGCCACCTTTCTAGCTAAGTATGCCATGGAGCATCAAAAGCTAACAAAGTTGTCATTAGTAACCAGTATTTTGATCAAAAGCTAACAAAGTTGTCATTAGCAACCAGTATTTTGTATTTGATCTTATAAAACATTTCTGTTATGTATGAAATTCAAAAATCCTTGTAGTTCAATTTTTTTTTAATTTGTGAAGTATAAATAACTTTTTCATCCACAATTTGTTCGCTCCATGCATAACAATATTTTTAAGAAAGTAAAATACCATGAAAATACATACATAATTAAACTTGAATAATGAATGAACTAATTACATACTTTAACTAAGCTCAATCATATAATCCAGTAAGAAGATGAGTTTATAACAATTAAAATAAATAAATGAATATATATGGATAAATGAATGAATGAATAAGGCAAGAGAAATATCATCACCTCTTTTCATAAAGAACGTCATTTACTTACTTGATATGTCACTTTGTTCCAAAATTTCCTGCTTACAATTGCAATTAATTTTTCTCTTCTTCTATTGATCCTACCAAACATAATGAAATTTTAATAGATTTTTATTTCATTTTAACCCAACAAATGGAATTATTAAGATATAATTCTCTTTCAGACTTTTCTCTTCTTCTTCTTATAAATTTTCAAAGCAATCCATTTAAATTTCTTAACCTTAAATCTTTTGCCCCAATAGTTCCAATGTCACTATTATACGGTACAAATTAAACTTTTCATCAAAGATCAATTTAGACTTAAGAAAAGAGTAACTCTATACTTCTTCCTCTTATAATAATCAAAATAGCTCAAGTGAAATTACCTAACAAAATATAATCTTTAAAATTAAATTTATAGCTTAATTAAATTCTATCCACTTCCTAATTCACGCATCAAACATGAGTTGGAAGAAAAATCAAATTTTACAACAACTCATGCAACAAATTCACACACACAGGTGGGCGGCAGCAACACAAAAGAATGAGGAGGAGAGATTTCAAGCATACCCACACCAAATCAAGTTAAGGGAAGAAGGAGGAACAAGTGCTGAACCACCAAAGAAGCATGAATCAATTGGCAAGGGAAGTATACAACGCCGCTGCAGCGATCAAAGAGGGAAGAAGAGCAGAGTGACAGCAAGAAGCAAGGAAGAGAGAAAACCACTAGAACAGAACCTCAACAGCATCAACGGACGAACCACTGTCACTGGCGACTGACAAAAGCGATCGGAGAAGAATAAAGTAGGGAAATAAGGATGATTTTCTCTCATGCTCTTTCTCTCTCATACTGAAATTTCGTGAATATGCAAGAAAGGACAAGGATGAGAATTAATGCTTGCTCCCGCCGTGTGTGATTATTGATTTTTTTTAATATTATATTCTTTTTTTTTCATTTTCTTTTATAATTTATAATGTTAGAACAAAAATAAAATAAATTCTTTAGCATCAATCATATTGAGCTCTAAACCTGTCAATAGAAACCCAAAAAATATTCTCACCAAACTACCATTCATTTCATTATAATTATCCCAAAATGTTAAAAATACTTAACTATTTTATCATAATTTTTTTTTACTTAGTTAATTAATTAATTTAATTTATATACACACACTTGGGTTGTTACATGCCACGTGAATTTCAAGTCAAACTAGTTACAGCTGAAGTTATATGCTTGAAAAATTGCATGCTACTGTTTTTCTGCTTTCGGGGAATCCACAAGTGACTAAAATCTAAGTCAGCTAGATTTCACGTTGAAACACAGGAAATGAAAGTCTTGTTCATTGACTTGCAAAAGGCCGAGGTCGTGAAAATAATTGGGTAGTTACAGCCATGTTTCCCCGTACTAGTAACATGATCATTTTTCTAAACCAAAACTCCACAGACAGTGAGGAAGTCGTGTACATTCCAAGTCTAGAAAATCATGGGCTAGAAGTGATGCTATACATGCTGGATCACCGAAGCTTAGTTTTGAGCCAGAAAAGTACGAAGACAACTCCAAAGACGATAGCAATAGGGGCCCACTTTCGAATCAGAGCCTGCAAGTAAGATTCGAAATTCAATTTTGGATCCATAGTAAAAGTCGTTCATAATTTTAATCCAACATGACTCAAACACTAGAGAAGCAACTTAATATTAACAAATAAAGGATATCAATCTTCATTTAACTCGATATAAAGAGGAGATATACAGTGTAAAACCAGAGAACCTGGACAGAAATGATAAGATGGTAATTGAATTGACACGACATGAGTTTCCTCAATACAAGCATGGCTTATCAGACTCTTAAAAGCTCAATACAACCTATGGGCAATCATGGTGCCAGCCTTCAGGGCCAGTTTGACACGATAGAATTATAGAAATGGGAGGGATATATATGGAAATGGAATTCGAATTGGAAAAACTCAATTTTCCAATTCCATGATCTATTTTTTTATTTTTTTACCCCCCTCTTGATCTTCTTCGTATTCGCCCTCTCTCGTCTCATACCCTTCTGATGATCGACTTGCCAAATTCGATGACGGCGATGACAACAACCTCTTCTCTATCTCCTTCATCAATGGCAATGGCAACGATAATCTCCTTCATTGATGGCAAGCACCAGATCTGGAGAGAGGATATGGCTAACACTTGTTCTTCATCCTCCTCCTCCTTCGTATTCTCCATCTCTCCATCTTTGATCTCATCACTTCTATCTTCATTATATTCAAGTCTTTCTTCATTCCTTTGCAAAGATTAGAGACCCTTTTTGAGCTGAGGACGATAAGGAAGCAGGTTCGTGGGCTGGGTTTCATTCCAAAGGGTTTGTGTTCATCGCTTGAATCTAGCCTTGATGAACACCTCTTCATCGATTGTTCCAGATCTAGGTTCTAATTTGACACCAACATTTTCCATCTTCCAAAATTCTAGGTTTGATTGTCCCTTTCCCAAATTTTGCATCTTCCAGATCTATGGGTTTTAGTGGTTATCAATTTTTCTGTATTACTTCTGGTTTGTTGATTATTCTAGATTGTTGCCAGGATGAAGATTTGGCTGGTGATTTTTTTGGCAGGTGACCAAGGGATTCCTCCCCCCGCCCCCGCCCCCCCCCCCCAACAATCTTGGAAGGTACTTCAGTATTTTCACATTTAAAAGATACATATTAATAAAAAATTATATCAAGATTTTACGAACATATCAAATATATTTTTAAATATTATAGCCGTTTTCATTTCAATATTCATTTTTACTTTCATATCCATATCTATTTTTATCAAAATTATTTTCATTGTATCAAAAAGGTCATTAGATTGTTTCAACTCTGAGGGCGTAGGTCATCCCCCATAAGGTCATTATTCTGCCTGACCACTGAAAGCTACAGATTCTCAAAGCGCAAGTTTAAACTGAAATCAGTGGCCCTAAGCATAAAATAAAGCTGGCATAGGTGAAAGGAAATGCCGCACGGAAAATTTTAAGGAAATTAACACATTTGTATATTTACAAGGTTGAACCCTTTTTTAAGGATACATTGACCACAATATTAGAATAAAAATGTGTAATTTATCGAGAGAAACTGAGTACACATATTTACAACGACGGCGGGATATTTCGAAGACATCCGAAATCATAGCTCAAAACATGAATCACCAACGCCAAATGAACAGAGACTAGATTGCTAAAATAATGAATTGGCACACATTATGTGCATAATGCAGTGAACTGGAAAGGACAAACCTGTCTATTTAAATCTTTTGCCTTGTCAGCATATATGCGAGATTCTGATGTTAAGCGACTGGACATTTGGCTGACCTCTGCAATTTCATTTTTTTTTTTTAAAAAGTCAATAATACAGCCGTCGGTTGAATATTATAATAATCCTAAAATTCAATACGGCAGTTTCAGACTTGAGAATGTGGAAGCAATTTGCAGACAAATGATATCATATGAAAGGGGTTCTGATAAAACTGTTCTGGGTTTTTCTTAAAAAGAACGATCAAGTAAGCAGACAAGTCTATGTCAATCACTACCATCCAAAATAAATCTTAGCAATAAAACAAAAAGACCAAATCTTGACTTCAAAACACATGCTCAATTTTTATGTTTGATGTCAGATTTATTTGAAGGAATTAACAGGAAGAACCCAACTGCAGTCAAAACTATACATGTTGATGGCCTTAATTTTCATATTCTATTAGAATTTATGAGGTTTAACAAACTAAAATTCGGATGTTGCAATCCAAGGATCCTAGCTATCAACAGAAAATATGCAACAACGAAAAGACAATAAAAAGAATATCTTACGATCCAACTGTTCACCAACACCAAGAACTTCCTGCACATTTCGAGTCATTATCTGATGGACTTCATAGATTTCATCATTCAACTTTGCAACATTGCGCTGAGTATGTGAATCCTGGTACAGCTTCTTTGTTTTCTGTATAAATGTATCTTTTTAACATTTAAAAAAATTAGAAAAATTAAGCAGCAGAAGAAAAAAATGAATACTATGAGCGAAATATGACAGAATCTAATGCACATACAAAAGTAAAAAAGTTATATTTACCAAACTTAATAAAGGCATAAGGTCTAGCAGCTGTTTCAATTTGAGGGCCATTAGCTCGCTCAAACTCATTGCTGAGCTCTTCAAGATACTGGAAAGCCAGTTTCTTGGGGTAAGCACGGTCACACATTGTCAAGTAACAGACACTTCCTTCAACAAGATAGCTGATGTTTTGTCAAGGCCAATCTAGGCTACGAAAACTCATCCAAATCTTGCCAATGCTAAATGCAATAATAAAAGAAATAAATTTTAAAAAAAATCAAGATAAGGATTCAACAAAGCCATTAAGCAACTTTCTTAGACAGTAAGGTTGTTAAGCATCATGATAATATCCCATTTTGCATCTGAACACCATAAGTAAAAGCACCATCTAAATATTAAAGAATAAGAAAATGGTGACTTAACAAAAAGAAGAAAAGGCTAGAAATTCCTTTAGTTTTCAAAACCAAAATATCATGGCCACAAAGATTTGAATAAGTAAGCAACATGTAAATAGGCAAAAGTACTAGCAGGAAAAATTATGTCTGTGGATAGGACATCAGGATTACGAAACATGGAGAACAGGAAAACTGTCAACATTTCAACAAAAATTCTGTGAGAACAAAGATTCTCACAGTTACCATTGCTTGTCATTTTCTCCATTCTCCAAGATTACTGCCACTGAAGCAATTGGGCCATCATACTACCCTAGACAAACTTCAGATTATAATAGCTTGACGTGTGTGAACATCAAAATATTGAGGAATACATATGAACACAAGGATACTGGAAAATATAAGGGCCCGTTTCAATTGACATCCGGGATGGATCATTCTGTCCTCTGGAGAGATTTTTAAACAAAGCCTTAACCTGCTGTTTGTAAAATTCAGCATCTTTAATATCACGGCCGTCATCTAGTCCCTCCACTAAAGGAAGACCATCAATTACACGAGCAATCATAGTCATTTTCACCATCCTTTCAGTTATTGATGTCCGTTTATCAATTTAAAACTTATCAACTAAAGCAAGATTCCCTGTTATAACAATCCAAAAACAGTGGCAAACCGAACTTAGTTGAAACCAGGACCTTGAGAAAAATTCAGATGTATCATACACAAGCTGACATTTCTTACTTACTAGTACCAGAGAAACTCAATTTTTTGCAATGATCTCAATGATTATACAAGTCTTTTAGCAGCCTGATCAATCGAAATCAGGACCTTGAGAAAAATTAGAAGCATCATACGAAATAACATTTCTTATATACATGTACCAAAGAACCACTATGCAGGACTTTTAGATATATCTCAATCATGATCCCAATTTTTTAGCAGTTTGATCAGTCGCTGATGGCAATCAAATAGGACCAGGTTCAAATAGTTAACTATTCAAAATTCAATCTACAAATCCATATGGAGAGGGAACAAGGGAATCATAAACAGCTCCAAGAAATACAAATGATACAGAAACACTTTCGTAAAACTACAGAAAATAATAAAAGCAGCCTGATCCTTTCGTAAAACTCATTATAATAAAATAATTCCAAATAATTTCAATACAAATAATAATTCCAAATTACAATTTTTAGATGATGATAACAAACTGCAATTCGAACTGGTATCGGCCTACATACGTATTTTACCACGATCCCTTTCGCAATAAAGTATAAACTTTAGAGTATATCCAGCAAATCTATAATCCAAAATATTTTGAAAGAAAACATCTATTTTCCAAGACTCTGAAACTAATGCAAGGAAATGGCACTTGATTACCCCCTAAACCCACCAGAAATCATGCAGGTATGAATCGTATGATATAACTAGCATCGTCTATATCTCGTAATGACATTATCATTCAATTTATTTGATGTAAAAGATCTGAAAAATTGGGATCTAAGTGTTAGGGAAATGGAAGAATGGAAAATAATAATCAACAGGGTTGTGGAACCAAGTAAGAACGCACATTACTCAGATCTCGTCCGTCTAAGTCATCAAAGTTAGCACGTGGTGAGAGATTGGGCTTATCATCCGTTTGGTCTCTAATGCATGGCTAAATTCTCACTCAAGATTTTCAATATATCTCGAAAACAACCAAGATTCCCCAAATTCATCATGTCCAGGCGTTTTCCTGAACAATGAGACTGAAAAGATTGAAGGATTACTGGAAACCGAAAGCAGAGGAGGAGGAGATGCCATGATTATAATCTCGGAGGCAACTGATAGGAAGGGTTAATCAGATGAAGGGTGACAAGAGAAGTGCAAACTGCAAAGGAGAGTAAGAGACTAACCAGAACAGACAAGTGGAAGGAAAATGAAATGATGGCGGCGAGATGCCGCAGCTATCGTCGTTGTCAGAATCGCCCAACTGGCGCAGCAAGTGCGATCGAATGAAATGATAAACAAGGAAATCGGGAGTGAGGGAGGGAGTATACTAGTCAAGCAAAGATCTCCAGCAACGGGAGATGGTGAATTTGGAAGAAGACAACTGTCACCGAATTTTTGAAGAAAAATAAATTTTTCACGTTAACATAATAAAAAATTATCAACTTTTAAAATTACGTTTCAATTAAAATTAATTTGTTTTAGTTATTTTTAATTTTTATATAATCTTTCTGTTGAATTTTTACAAAAACTTTTTAAGATCAACATTAGTGATGGAAAATGTCCTATATTTTAGACCTATGTCATTCATGTTTTTTTAGTTAATTTTTATTTAAATATGATATCAGGAATAAATTAATTTTTTCAGTTTTTAGATTAACATAAACTATTTTTTTGGGTAAAAGTATATTTTTGTTTTTAAAGTAAGTTTTGAAGAGTATCCAATACTTTAAATTATTAATCGGAAGTCATATTTTTCTCAAAATAATTAAAACAGAACCTTTAACCTTTTTTTTAACAGTCAAAATTAGAGTATCAATTTGTATTTATAATCATCAATGTTGGAAATTTAATAGTAAAGGTAAACAGGTTTCATTTTAATTACTTTAAAGATAAAATTATTTTGATTAATAATTTAAAATAATGAATGTTTCTAGAAGAATATTTTAAGAGCGAAAAATTAATAAAACAATATGAATAGCACTTGTTGGTATTGAACATGTTATATTTGGACTTGAATCCAAGCAACGAATTTCATGCAGTGGAGGGAAAGTGGGACAATCTTGATTGTACATTCTATTTAATGGTTGGAAAGAGAGGGATGCACCAAAAAAGCCTTACCATTTGCAAAGCATACAAACCTTTTTTTTTTTTTTCCCTTAATACTCTTTAAAACCTAATTTTTGTTAAAATAAAAAATAAAAAAATATTTGACAAAATCTACGCTCTATATCCTACTACGAAGTAGAATTTTAAATTTAAATTGTAAAGTAATTTTTTATTGTAAAAAAAATATTTGTGTGTTTTGCAAATGATAAGGCTTTTTGTACACCACTCTCTTTCCAATCATCAGATAAAATAATCAGTCAGGATCGTCCCACTTCTTATCCACTATACCAAATACATTGCATCTGATCCCAAATCTGTTATATTTTTGGCAACCATTAAGTAAATTTATTGTCATGGTATTTTAGCTTAAAGGAAAATAATATTATAGATTAACATAATCTTTATGTGATAAAACATTAAGCATCAGATTATTAGATAATTTTTTAAAAAAAATCTTTAAACTTTCTTAAATTGAGCTTCTTTTTTCTGCAGAATTGAATAATTTAAAGTAGAAGTTTATAATGTAAAAAAAATTGAATTAAAATATGTACAAAAAAGGAAATGGGTGAAATAAAAATTAAAAGTGAACATTATATGGACTTTCATTTTTGTGTGTCACTTTAAAAAGAAAAGAAAAGAAAAGTTGAGTTGAGTTGGGGAAAAAAAATTGCTATTGTTTTTGATTGTGCATCACTTGTACATTACATCATGCAAAAGCTCGTTTTTGTATCCTTTTCTTTATTTAGTTACAAGGGCAATTGAACTTCAACCTAAAAGAAGAAATGTCTTGGTATTCTTCTGCACCAAGGCTTCATATGTCTCGTTGAATTTTCAAGAGAAGCTGGATGAACTTCCATTAACAATCTTGAGACCAAGGACATGAAATAATTTAAGCATGAAACAGAATAAATTAGAGTTCTTTAAATAGTATTTCTAGGATCAAGCTCGGTTCTCCAATGCTGATGCAGCAGAGTCAACATGTACAAGCAAGCAAGAATAAACTTTCTTCTTCAATCCGTCAATAGTCTCTACTAGCCCTTCACTCTCTGGGCCTAACTTGCTTCTCAGTTTCTCCAACCACTCATTTGCTTGCTTAAGATGAGACAATGTGAGAGCAATATTATTAGCTTCTTCTACATGTCTCCCTGCAATTTCCTTACTGTCCTTTCCCTTTTTCTCACGGGAACCCATTGAAAACCTAGAATCCAAAGTCTTCTCCAAGAATTTCAAGAACCATGATCTTGTTTCATTTGAAAGGATTTCTCTCATCTCTTTTGTCTCTTTTAGACCATCCCCTTTGGCCCATTCTAGTCTCTGTGTCTCGTTTAGTTTGGTTGCAGCTTGTTTTGGAGACTTTGATGATGTTCCAGCCATGAAGCCGGTCTTTTTACATGGTTTGTCTGGTTCTGCTGGGGATAGATTTTTGCATGGCTGAAGTGATTTATATTTTAATGGAGATGCAGGGTTTGGTTGGTCCATGAGCTGTTGCAGAGCAAAGAATTTGTTCATTGTGAGATGAGGATTCTCTGATGCTGCAGTAGAGCAGAGATTGGCGAACATGCTGAAAATAAAAGGGCAAAGGAATAATTGAAGACAAAGGGAATAGTGAATTTACTTCTTTCTCCTCTGATACTTTTTTTTTTTTGCTGATTATATATAAAAAAACAAAAATTATGTTTGGGTGAGAAATTTTGTTATTACCTTAGGCACTTGACAAGGTTTGCTGCTGAAGATGCTTCTTTTTGAGCCTCTATTGCAACCTGAGAGGCTAAGTGTTTTCTTCTAAGCATTTCCTTGTAGAAAGACAATAAGGTAAACAAATGGGAAATATAAGTTTATATGATTATTAAGGAAAACAACCATGTCAGTGTATAAATGATGCAGAAATTTTGAATAACAAGTTTTACAAAACAATACAGAAAGTAAATGCCAACAAGGTGAACTGACAGTTTGCATGACACCAAACTCAACTTTTTTTTTTATTTTAATAAAGTTGGGTCAGATATATTGTGCTTGTTACATGTTTGGTGTCAACTTTTTAATAAAATTGTAATGCTTAGATATGTTCAACATATCAACTTCACGTGTAGATCTGTTAAACATAGTATAATGTAAAGTACCTTTCCAGGCTTCAAAAGATTGGGAGGCAACGAGCACCATGAAATTGTCTCTGTGGTGTAGCTTTTATCTTTACTACGAAACAGAAGATTAGAGTTCAAATTTTCCTGCTTGGCAGAGCTGCGTTTTGTAGAAGATGTGTTCTTAGATGGTGTTACATTAATTTCCTGGATGCTAGGTTGAGCTACCTCTTGCTTTGGAGCGATTACTTCACGTCCATTATGAGTTGGGATCACTGAGAGTACCTGTAATGCTAAAACCAATCATTCTCAGCATCAAACTTGGATTATTTCCGCAAATTAAAATTCCAAACAGTCTTTTCTATCCTTTATATTATTATTCTGTTCAAGTCAATAATGTGGAATTTATTTTTTTTCAAGTGTTTAGCAGGAAAAGATCATGCCACTGCTTCCTTTGTGTCACTTTCATATATACAAGTGAACTTAGTCAGAGTCTTTGAATTCAAATCTGGAGAACGCAACCGTGTTCAATACTTAATGAGAGAGCTTTATTCTCCTCTATGGTCTATCCAACTTGATTCAAATTAGTTTGAGCCTCATTAAATCCTCCAGTTGAAGTGGGGCAGATACAAAATGCCATGCAGTCTTATTCGGATATATATAAATTGGTTCTTAGATTATTATATTTGTTTAGTTTTAGTTTCTTGAAAAGTAAAAAATATAAAGGCTTGTTTAGTTTCCGTTTTCAAAAACAGTTTTTTATTTTTAAAAACAAAAAATATGAACAGTTTTTGAAACAATTAGAACATTTTGAATCTAATTGTTTCCAAAACTATTTGCATTTTTTTAAAAATAAAAAAATTGAAACATCTTAAAACCATTTTCATTTTATTTTTCTTGTTTTCAAAATAAATTATATTTGATTATTGAAAAATATAGTTACTTTGACTAATAATTATCATAAGTTACACTGTTAACTGTCGATGACCATTATTATTGATTTAATTTTTTTTAATTCTAAAACTGTTTTGTAATATAATTTTTAAAATTGTTACCAAACACGTCCTAACTGTTTCAGTTTTTCTAAACTTAAATCCTATAGGCTCCACAATATATAATAATGTGGCTTGAAAGTATAAAACTCCAAATCCAAGGCAACATCCATACCTGATCTCTAGCTTCTTGCTTTGCTTTCATTGATCCGATCTTCTTAGTACTAGCTCCACCACCATTCTCTAAATCATTTCCTTTGCTTCCTCCATTGTTGTCAGCTCCATTAACCTTTGAATTTGATGTTAAAACACCCTGCATGTACCTGGATGCAACAGCAGCTTTCTCTTCTTTAATAACAATCTTCTGTCTTGGACTTGGATTCTCTTTGGCTTCCATTAAATCCACTGATGATCTTGAAGAACCATTAACTCCTTCACCTTCAGATTGTACAGGACCTTCTGATTGCTCCAACATCTGCATCAAATCCTTGGGGTTTCCTTCAAAAGGGTGTCTTCCAGGAACGGGCCTGACTCCTACAAGAATAGGGACTGGTGTCCCACTCTCCATTTTATCCACATACAAGTACTGCCCAAGTTGTAACTTGTTGTTCAAGATAAGCTCATTGTCTTGCTTTGAGAGTGAGACATAGGTTGAATGAGAAGAGTCTGACACTTTTATGAAGAAACCTTGGTTAGGCCATAGCTCAGACCCAGTTAGTGCAGGCACGATGCTTATCACCTGCAGAAGAACCGATCTGTATTCTCCTCGAACTTTTACATCAGAGTTCATACTTTGAAGAAGCTTCAGTAGCACTCCAGGGGTGAGAGATGCCATTTTTCTTCTTTCCCTTTCAAAGTTTTTGATGTATATTATATATACTTCAAGGTATCACCGATGACAAAAAGCTGCATATCCTCCAAGAGTTAGAATGGAATCATATTGGAATAGATATAGCTACTTTTAATCCAGTCTCATGAACAGGTTGCAGAAACATGAAAATGAACCACAGATATCTTCTGGTAAAAGGGGAAAAAACACTAATGAACAGAAAGTATCGGGAAACCAGGTCATATTACACAGAATCTACAGATTAAAAAAACAATATAAGTCACCTGAGAATGGGATGTAATAGATTCTGAACAGAAATGACAGACGCTAGTAAGCTTCCAGCATAGAATGAATCTGATTGCTTCAGCAGTGGATTATCCAAGAACATGTTCTAAAGCTTTGCATGCGAAGCACGTAATCATCAAAATCCCTTGGCTTTCAAGCCAAGGGACAATAATGGCTCAGGCGTGAGAAATGGGAAGCACTTTGTGGGAGACAAGAAATGAAAAATCAGAGCCTTTTATCAGAAAAGTTATGCCTAAGCCTAATCTAGCTACAAGTAATTAATGATTATTACTAATATGGTCTTTATATTAATCGTGGGGTCTCAATTTGGTCAGGTTTCGTTATAAGTTAGAGGCAATGTATCCATTAAGAAAAGGGTAAGGATATTATAGTGTCAACATCTTAGAGAGGCGTGATTAGAAGGCCATTATATCTTGACCTTGATTCTTTCATAAGTAAATGAAATGAGCTACATTCAGTAGACTTCACCTTAAACAAGCACAATCATTTTGCTGTACTTCAAAAGTCTTACCACACAGAATTACCCGAGAAGAATTGTCGCTAGTTTTTAAGAGGACATGCTGACATCGCCAAGTAGCACCCACTTAATTGACCTATTTCAGATCTCTTCACCAAAAAAAAAAAAAAAAAAATTCCCACCTTTGTCCTTTTTATGTGGATGGGTTGGTGGTATAATGCGTCATCATTTAATAATGTGTTATATCACTGGAAGTTTATCATAAATTTTTTGATATTAAAATTGAAAATTTCAAAAACATCTTATACATTGATATCTGATGCCATAATATCCTATTTTACATAAAAAAAATATAAAAAATAAAATATAAAATAGACATATTTACTTACGTGTTCCGCATATTACTTTGTTAATAATTTATGATTAGTTTTTTTTATGTGTATGTTTCATTTTGATAATTATGATCAAATGATTTATTTATCCTTGAAATAATTTTATAAATCAAATATGAAACATCCTTATTTTAAAATGAAAATTATTACATTTTAAAAATAAAATAAAATGTTAAATGTCTAAATTTAATGTTAACTATCTAAATGAGAAACAAAGATGAACGAAATTGTTTTTCAATAAATAATATTCATCTCCCCAAAATTTTTTTATTACAAATTCACAACATTTGGGATATTTTGCGTTTTTTTTGGATGAAACTTAACCCAAACAGTTTTGTAAAATTGTGTCTTACTTTATACCAAGGCTTTAAAATCCTACCCGTTACCGTTCTTCAAAACAGAATATGACAACGGCTTTAAAAAAGCTATTATGTATGTCTCGTCCTGCTACTTTTTCGTTTCGAGTGGCCATTCCTCCTCCTCCTCCTTTTTTTGGGGCAGGAGTGGCCATTCCTTTGGTCAAGCTCTAACCTCCAAAAAATTAATTATGATGGATTTATTATTTTTATTAATAATATATTATTGTATATCAATAAAAAAAAGTTTAAAAATTTTTGAAATTTCAATAATAAACTTCTTTTATATTTGATGATAAATTTTCTTATTTATCAATATAAATAGACCATATTTTTAAATTTTTTTAAAATTTGATCCATACTTTTTTGGATACAATTTTTTCTGGGCAGTGAGCCAATTTATTCAAAAAATTATTTTTTTCAATTTTATTTATAAGTCAAATTTCAATATTTACGTGTCAAAGTTCAACATTTATTAGTGACTGGGAGCTGTAAGTGATTAAATTTCTATTAGGAACCTGTGTGAAATTCTCCCCAGAACATAATACTTGTAAGGTAAATTTTCAATACTTCATTTTCTACTTGTGAGTTTATAACTTGCATGTAATCCATCTAACCATTAGTTTCCAATTGTACTCTGTAAATTCCTTTACAGAAAGCTGAGAATATTCAAATCCTTAGACACAACAAGCAATATTGCGATATCGTTCAAGCTATGAAGACGAAAAGGCATCGGACTGGGTCTGAGCGCGAACAAATCTGGCATACAAACCATCACCACCATGGGAAGCCGTGAGAGCTTCATGGCTTCCAGATTCCACCACAATGCCATCTTCCATAACCGCGATCATGTGAGCCGCTCTGATTGTAGATAGACGATGGGCCACAACTATGGTGGTTGCTTCTCGTGCGACATTTCTCAGAGCATTTTGAATAAGTTTCTGTGACTCTAAGTCCAAGGCACTGCTTGCTTCATCAAGCAATAACAACCTTGATCTCTTCAATATCGCTCTCGCTATTGCAATCCTTTGCTTTTGTCCACCTGATAACTGGACCCCACTCTCACCTACCTAGTGTCAAGGAAAAGATTAAGAGACCAAAGGGTTGACAACCTGAATTCTTTCATCAAATTGTTGCAGCCTAGTCATTTACATTGTACTGATTTCATAATAGTACTGATCATAAACAGCACAGCGTCATATAAATTTAGTAGATATAGATATAAATTAGCCCATAAAATTATATTATGAAGTGAGAAGTGATATATCCATCTACTCTTCAGTTTTTAAATATAAACAGAATTTTTCGTTCACTTTTCATGTATGTGAGAAAGATTCTTATACACAAATAATGTAAATAATCAACTGTACATAATGTCATCAACTCATTATAATGGGCAAATGTATCAGAAAAAAAAAATGATAAATTCATCAATAAGGAGCATACCTGGGTTTCATAACCTTGAGGAAGACCACTTATGAACTTGTGAATGTAAGCTTCCCTCGCAGCCTCTTCATTTTCTGTGAATGTAGCATCTACATTCCCAAGGGCAATATTCTCCCTAATGCTTCCAGCAAAAAGTGCAGGCTCTTGACTCACCAAAGCCATTTGCCTCCTCAGCCATTTCACATCAATCTCTCTCAAATCCAAACCATCAATCATCACTTTCCCTTCATTTGGATCATAGAACCTCTGTATCATCCATATCACAGTTGATTTTCCAGACCCACTTGGCCCCGCTAAAGCCACTGTGCTTCTGATTTCACCTTCAAACAGAAGTCCTTCAACACAATCACTGAGGCCTCGATGGGTAAGAAACGTCACCTTGTTGAACCTTGTTGAACTCTAATGGGCAAATGTATCAGGAAAAAACAAATGATGAAATTATCCATAAGGAGCATCTGGGTTTCATAACCTTGAGGAAGACCACTATGAACTTGTGAATGTAAGCTTCCCTCGCAGCCTCTTCAATTTCTGTGAATGTAGCATCTACATTCCCAAGGGCAATATTCTCCCTAATGCTTCCAGCAAAAAGTGCAGGCTCTTGACTCACCAAAGCCATTTGCCTCCTCAGCCATTTCACATCAATCTCTCTCAAATCCAAACCATCAATCATCACTTTCCCTTCATTTGGATCATAGAACCTCTGTATCATCCATATCACAGTTGATTTTCCAGACCCACTTGGCCCCGCTAAAGCCACTGTGCTTCCTGATTTCACCTTCAAACAGAAGTCCTTCAACACAATCACTTGAGGCCTCGATGGGTAAGAAAACGTCACCTTGTTGAACTCTATCTCCAATGGCTTTGATCTTGATCTTTCTATCTTCCTAACCTTGTTCTCTCATTGCCTATCAATGGCCTACGATTTATGATATCTAGAACTGCAGGAATTGCTGTAGTTGCCATGGAAGTATCTGGTGCTAAGCCTGCCAGTTGTCCCACAGAAAATGAGCTCAAAACAAGAGTGAGAAAGATCTTATAAACATCTCCAAAATCTGTCTTGTTCTGTTTCACAAGGTAGGCACCAAACCAAAGAATTAATGTGTATGCTACATACATGGCTCCTTGTAAAATCCCGAGTGTTAGGCCTAGAATTTGTGGACTTCTTTAGAGATTTTCTCCTAGGCTCTAACAAAGCTTGATCGAAAGACTTTACTATTTGCTCTTGGGCAGATAAAGCGGTGACTGTCCTAATGTTTGAGACTGCTCCAGAAGCAATATTACTAGCTCTAGCATAAGAGTTGTTGTCAACCCTTGGCCCTATGTTTATGATCAAACTTAAGTAACTAGCACCAAGAATAAATGGGGCTAAAGCAGTAGCCAAAAGGGCTAATCTCCATTCAAGAGAAAAGGATACACCAAATATCATAGAGTTTGAATTTTCTTGACCTTGTCTTTTGTGTATCTTCGACATCTTCCTCATGGATGGATGCTAAGGACATAGAGGTGAACATTGAGATATCAGCAAATGATTTCTCATAGTCGGAGAAGTCATTGGCCTTTCGTGTGACATAATCTTCAGGCCTAGGTTTTGAAATGGGATCAGATTCTTCAGAAGCAAGCTTGACGAGGTTGTAGTATGTGCCGGCTTTTCTCATAAGCTTGTGATGATCACCAATCTCAGTCACAGAACCACGCTCAAGAACTACAATGGTGTGCACGTTCCTGACAGTTGCTATCCTGTGAGCAATGACAATGGTGGTTCGGCAAACGGAAATCTTGTCAATGGCCTTTTGGACTATAGACTCTGACTCAGCATCAAGAGCGCTGGTAGGTTCATCCAAGAGAAGGAGTTTTGGGGTTTTCGTCATGGCTCGAGCCAATGCAAGGCGCTGCTTTTGACCTCCTGAGAGTTGGGTTCCCCTGTCTCCAACCTGCCATAAATGTCATCCTTCAGCTAACAACCGACCTTATGAAATTCTGACATAGGTATAAACACACTGGAACATCAAAATACAACAAGCATTACCTCGTAGTTTTAGAAATTTAAAAAAATAACAATTAAGGACCTCTAAGAATATTAATCTCAATTGAAAACCATAACATTTTGAAATTTCAATTATGATTCTCAATTGAGATTAATATTCTTAATTAGGATTTTAAAATATTATAATCCTCAATTGAGGTTAATGTTCTTAGAGAATTCTTAATTGTCATTTTTTTAAATAATTTTATGTGCCTTAGTCTAGTTAAAATCAAACATCTAGATAAGAACTATCTTTTTGATTAGTTACTGTGCCTGGGTGTCATAGCCTAGTGGTAGGCTAGAGATAAAGTTGTGGGCATCAGCAGCAATGCACGCATTAATTGCCTCTTCCATAGTGGCATTTTCCCTTCCCATCATCACATTTTCAAGTACAGTTGTGGCAAAAAGAATTGGCTCCTGACCTACTATTCCAATTTGATCTCTTAGCCATTTGGCTTGAAAGGTTCTCAAATCATGACCATCCAAGTTTATAACCCCTGAAAAGACATTTGAAGACTGTTAGAAGGAGAAAGAGGAATTTCTTTGAAGTCACTTTT